CCACGGTCCCCTTTTGGCCCAGCTGCGCCTTGAGAACCTCTGCTACCAGTTGCTCCACTACCCCCTTTAGGTCCCCCTGGTCCTGTTGGCCCACGTTCCCCTTTTGACCCAACAAGTCCTTGAGGACCTCTGCTCCCAGTTGCACCTGGATTTCCTTTAGGTCCTCCTGGTCCTGTTACTCCACGGTCCCCTTTTGGTCCAGCAACTCCTGGAGGACCTGTGCTACCAGTTACTCCTTGGTCCCCTTTTGGCCCTGAAGTCCCACGTCCTCCTTTTGGCCCTGCAACTCCTTGAGGACCTCGGCTGCCCTGTGCTCCTTGATTCCCTTTAGGTCCCATTTCTCCTATTGCCCCCCGAAGCCCTGGCAATCCATCCAGTCCAGGTGCTCCCATCTTACCAGGCAGACCAGCACCTTGAGATCCTTTGGGACCAAGCTTCCCCGGTACACCCCGAGCTCCTTTATCCCCTGGTGGTCCTGCCAGTCCTGCCTCTCCATTTTCTCCTTTGGGACCTGCAATTCCTTGACCAGGAACTCCCGGAATGCCTGGAATTCCTGGCTTTCCTGGAGGACCCACAATCACATGGCAGCAAGAATTACACCCCTCTGGATGGAAGGATGTTCCTGCTAGCGGGCCGTCTGTTATGGATGGCGCTGGCTCTTCGGTCGCAACATGGCCAGGAAAGAGCAAAGACAAAAGAACAACAAGAAGCAGAAGCTTCACCTGCAATTAAAATAACACACAAGATTAATGAGACAAAGTCCTGGAGATACAAGACCAAACAAGACTTAGATATCTGAGACCTTCATGAAGCAAGACCTGGACATCTGTGACTGAGTCTAGAGGTTCAACTTGAAGGCCGAGACTAAGGCCTCCAGGTCTGAAACCACTGCTGAGAGGACCAAGACCTGGAAGAGATTGATGAGAATGAAATCTGAAGTCCATAGAGTTATCTGAAGACATAGAGTAAGAGGTTTGACACCCGGATGGAGACTGAGATCTGGAGGTCCAAGACTGAGACCAAGACCTGCAGGTCCAGGGCACAGACTTGAGACTTCAGGGTATGACTCTAAAATAAATTCTGGACCCGGAGGTGGTTTGACACCAAGATGGAGCCTTAGACCTAGAGATCCTGGACCCAGACCTCTGGACACTGCTGTGATTGACTTGACCAAAACTGATTTCAGCAGAATTGCTCTCAGGACTGGTCTGGAAACAAAGACCAATCACAGGACTTTACAACCTTGCCAACATGGCTGTTTCCACTTCTTGTCCTGGAAATAGGACAGAAAATACAATGTATGTTTTCTTCACCCTTGGTCAATCACAAGCCATTACACATTTCCACGAAATATCACAGTTGATTTTCTGAACTAATTCATAAAATATCATAAATTCTGAAGTGATATTCATATACATATGCTAGATAAAAGCCCTATTTCCCTGTAAACTAGGAATGGATCAGTAGCTACATTGCATCCTTTAGATGTTCTATAGGTACCAACATGAAATGTCTTTTGCCAAGGAGACATCAAAGTTTTAGCACGCTATTAACTTTAATTAAAATTTAACATTTAGACAGTGCTTCCAAGCACATCCTAAGTCTTGATTAAAATGCATCACTCTGTGGGCAAGGGCTAGGATTTCTCCCAACTTTCTCAGCTCTGAATCTATTTTTCCCCATAGGTTAGTGTGACCTAGTGGTTAGGGTAACTCCCAATCGCAGGGTTAGGGTTCGAATCCTGCCATGGGCGTACGTTTTGACCTCGGACAAGCCACTTTACCTTCACTTACCCCATCTTACCCTGGAGTATAAAGCGGTACCTATGAGGGCAGAGAGAGTCATTATGTGGTTGGTTATTAACCAGGTAGCACCTGAAATGGTTGCGCTGACAGTTAAATACTCCCCAGGGAGTTGAGAGGATTTGTGGGATTGTTTCTGGGCCCAGTCAGCAGGAATCATTCAGAGCTCACTGAGAGCCCATAAGGTACTCGAGTGTTCTACATTGTATATGAATATGTCACTGTTATCCTTCTTCAGTCTAAATCTGCAATGCAATAAGGCACATTTTTAGAAACTTCTTTGCCTTTGTCAAGGCATTTAGAGACTGCTGCCTGTTATTTTTAACAAAGCTTTATAATCAGTGGCATTTCCAGTGGGAGGGGGGGCAGGGGATTGGATTTTTGATTAAAGATTTTGATACAGGCTGAAGCCGCATTCGCTTTTGAATTTGCCTTCCTTGATGCCCGAAGTTGGATGCACTGCTTTTTATAACTGCTTAAAAAATGACAGGTCTGCAGTTGAACATTTAGCAGTTATCCAGAGCTGGGGGATTGACCAAGTGAATCTCTGAAAACTGTATCTTATCATTTTCCCTGAGAAATTAGGTTTTTTTTTGTCAGCTGAGGAATGTTCAAATGTATACTGTCTACATATTGGCTTTATTCACAAGTGAGCCATCTCAATTTGAAAGTCGGAAAGCTCCTGTAACAAAAATGGATTGCCAATGCCATCCATGGGCTCCAATGGGTACATGTTGATACAAATTATGGGTGAAAGGCGTGCCACCTTTGCTGGCCAAATGATTTTTTTTCTAAATGAAGCTATAGACAATTCTGGTGACCATGGTAATGTTATCCCTTTTTGTTTTTGCAGTGGCCCTCTTTAATTGCAGTAAGCATTGTAGCTGCTATTTTACAGTGCTAGTGGTCCATGACAGTCACTCCATACAAAACTCAACACAATGCTTAGCCCCATTCAAGGGGGCCATTAGGAGTGTCCGGTGAAACATTGGTGGATTCATCCACTACTGAAATTATAGACAAATAGTCAGGTTCCTTTCTATGTCAGAGTGTTCAATCAACAAAGTGGATTCAGGAGCACAGTTCAAAATGGCTATCTTGTAATAATAAAACTTACAAGAATTCTTACGTTTAAAGGTTAGAATTGTCTGCTTGAAGCTTCTGTTGTTTCTGTTGCCATCCTAAACTTTTGAAATGTTAAGTCAAGCTGTGAACTTGAAATGAGAAAACAGTTTACCAGAAGAGTCTGTGATAACTCACCCAAGCCATCGTCCTTGATTCAGTTGCCAGTCTTCTCCTTGTTAACAGCATCAATCTCTTGGTGTTCAGAGCACAAGACAGCTCATCTCATTGCACCAACAGACGAGGGCTTGTGTGTTGTATCCTTCTCAGTGTGCTGTGTTCTCTACTTTGGAACCGGAACTGAAGTTCCAGATTCAAAAGCCAAGGGGGGTGGGGGGTGCAGGTTTGAAGGGTAGTTGTGGTGAATGTTTGGTATCATTACAACAACAGATTTTAAAATTTTAGCATGTGTATGTTTCTTTTTGCCTGCCTTATTGTAAACTGTACCCAAATACTGTATTGTGCTCGTTTAAATTTCTCCAAATTAAAAAAACAACAGAACAAAAAGTACTGCAGTTTTTTTAACATGCAGATATTACATCCCCTTGTCAAAATAGAACAGTCTCAGGGTCATTTTAATTTTTCTTTTCTGTCGGTTATTTTGGACAGCTTTCTTATCAAGATGTGCACCTGGTTTATTTCTTCCCGTGTTGGTCTCTGTTGATTTCCGTCATACGTGTATGTGGGACATCCGTACCATGTAGGCTTTTGAACCCGGATCTTTCTACGTGACCATTCAAGGTCTTTGTTCTTGACATTGCAGTACTTTCAACATAGCATTTTCTGTGTCCCTATTGACTGTGCACTCAAGTGCTGAATTCAGATCCTGTGTGTAGGAAAAGTATAATTAATCAGTTTAATGCTTGACATCCCTGTTCTATATAATCCCTACATGTACATTAGTTTGAGCCAATCTTAAAAAACCCTGTTGCAGGAGCAAGATAATTACACTGTTTCAGACTTTAATAACATTTCAAGACTTTATTTATTGATTTCTACAATGCTGGTCTCTTTCTTCAGCAATGTGAAGGACATCCACTCAGTCTTAGAGGTGACGGTATACGACGAAGACAAGCACGGCAGTCCTGAGTTTCTAGGCAAAGTGGAGATCCCGCTGCTGAAGGTGAGGTTCTACCATCCAAAACCTTACTCTATGGGTCATACATTAGAGCCCAGCCTCTGAGCTCTGTGCATGTATACCTGTGAAAAAATATCACACCATGTCAAAATCTTGTATCTAGAACTAAGGTGTAGTTTTGGCTGGTGGGCACACACTGTTACTGTTAGCTCTAGACATGGCTTTAGGGTCCTTGTTACTGGGCGAATGGTAGACTTGTGTCTGGAAGGCCAAGAAATCTTGAGAGAACCAATATTTTTTTGAGAAATTGCAGCAAGATTTCTAGGGAGGTTGTCATTTATATCATAATTGTTGTTGAGGGATTTTTATATGAGGATTTTTCTTCTTTGATGTATAAATGATGGTCTCCAGGGGCTCGAAAGGACAAACAAAATCACAGTTAAGCCTGCTTGGATGAGACTTGAACCAAAGGCCTCCTGTGAACTAGTGCCAATGTCTTAACTACTCGACTTGAATCTGATACAGCTCATTTATAGAATGAAATACAGGCATTTAATATGTCGTCAATTAGGAAACTGTAAATGAGTGACTTTTTTTTCCTCTCTGATCTCGCAGGTTAAAAACGGAGAGAGGAAGTACTACGCCTTGAAGGACAAGAAGCTGCGAAGACGAGCCAAAGGCGCCATCTTGCTGGAAATGGACTTGGTCTTCAACAGTGTAAGCATTTCTGCTCAGTCAAATTTCCTCTCACAAGATATCCATTTTCAGGATGTGGTATTGTGCGTGCATGTGTCAATTCCGGCTGATTGAAACGGACCATCTTTTTTCAGTTACAGTCTCCTGGAGTTGTCTGGGTAGCTTGATGACATGTCCAGAAATTTTGAAAAAGTTGACAAGATTTCAGGTGTCAACCAGCAGAAATGATTTACGCAAACAGTTTTTTCTGCATTGGAGAAGAGAGTTTCACAGAATGTGTTTTTTTTAAGTTTTGTGTTGGAGGGAACAAGGCGAATTAGATGTACACTTTACAATACACGTATACTGGGAAGATAAGAACAGCAATATTAAGAATTTACCAGCCTCATGGCAGCGTAGTTGAGATTAACTATTCCCTTATGTTGGCCACTTTTATAACTTGTTCTTTGTTCAGGTAAAAGCCGCGATCAGAACAATCAATCCCAGAGAGGAGAAGTACTTGGAGCAAGATGCCAAGTTTAAAGTCTCGGTGAGTGGAAGAAAAAAAAAAAAAGAAGCAGAAATCCTCTTGGTCCTGTAACACCCAGATCTTTCTGTTTGAAATGTCATGGAGCTCAGTGAAGCAGAGCCCAAGCAGCAACGTTTACTTGACAAAGGGCTTGACAAAGTCAGTAATTTAGACCTGCCTATGCAGAGCTGGATGGCTGTGTGGTGCACTTTGTTTGAATGGTTACAGGTTCGAACCCCCCTTCCAGTCAGTTTCTGGTGTTCAGTTGGGGGGCGGGGAATGTGTTCAGTCTAGAATCCTTCCTTGTTGTTTGAGCAGTCAGTGTAAAAGACATACCATTTTGTCATATATCAAAAAAGGTCAGCCACCACTAGTCATATCATCTCTAGAGTGAGTACTGTACTTGTCAAACTGTGTTTCCATGCCTCAATCAAGTAAACCTCAACAGTCACAGCCAAACAATCTTGCTTCATTTAAGCACGGAATTCCTGACGCTAGAAAGCAGCCACTGTGTTGAGGTTTGACTGAAATGCCACCTTTACCGGGTGAGAGTGTATGCAAAGTTGGTTTAACCAGTTCCAATCTTCCCCCAGGTTCTTCAGTACAACCTGTCCAGAGTCACCCGACTAATCGGCGTCATCATCGACACCACCAAGTTTATCAACAGCTGTTTCCAGTGGGAAAGCAAAGCTCGCAGTGCTATCGCATTTGCTGTAAGTCTGTCCAAGTTTTTTTTCAACGTTGTACATTGAGAATGGTGGGATTGTTTAGCTTTGATAAGCTTCCCTCTGTTTCGATTGTCATATCATTTGTTGTTCAGAGTGACTCCAAAACAATGTCTGATATAAGCATGATCATTATTGATTATGATTGTTGACGGTCACCGTTCAATTTACAGCAAACGCACGCCTTCGAGTCTCTCAATATTCTGGCGTACATGAAATTCCTTGAAATACCCAGATTCCAAAATGCATGCACCTCCACGGTCCACAGACATGGCAGGCTTTCTGAAATGCCCTTGCCTGTTGTATGACATCATGTGAAAAACCTCAGTATGCAGGTATGCAATTTTTTGTGACCCTGTTTCAACTAGAGATGAAATAAAAGCTGTTGATTGGCTGGTAGGGGTCAGGTGACCCATACACTGCCATCTACAGGCTATTTAGTTGAGGGTATAAAAGTATGTGAAAAAGTGTGCACTCCTTGTGGATTTTGCATGAATGAATGCTCACTGTTTTATTAGAAATCAAAGAAAGAAATGGAAAATCTACATACTGTGAGATCGTAAATGCAGAATTTCAGTCATTGAATAGGATTGAAATCGAGAGTAAATTCTGTGGTTGATTGCAGTCCTATCTCATCATCGTCTGGAATTTTGAGCTGTACATGGTACCCATCTCCATTCTTCTGCTCTTTGGTTGGAAGTACGTAGAGGTGTGCATCACAGAGAAGTTCACCAAACCGGTGGAAGAAGACGTGAGTTGGCAATATTCTCTATAGTTTGGGAGGCAGGAGGAAGTAGCATATGTGTCTGTGAGAAGTAGCCACAGCTACAACGGCTAGCCAGTGGCATCCATTGGCACGTGTGTCACTTCCAGCCGCAGCCTGAATTTTTTTATGTGGTTTACCTTTTTCTATAGTGTTGTAATCCAGTTAATAACTCCTGACGAGTCAGGTCAGGAGTAGAAGGGAATATGTATCAAGAGATGAAAGAACTTAGATAACTTTAGCTACCAATGTCACAGTTCTGTGAGGGCTTGTAACTTTGTTTGGAACTAGAAGATTTGTGGTAGGGTTATGATTTACTAGAGTCCACTATGCTGCTGTGGTTCTTTCTTTTCTTCATTTGGTTCATATCTGCGATTGCTGGAGTAAACTGTGACAGTTCTTTTGTTGGGAGGGGTTCGATATTGTTTTGTTAATTAAAGAAAAAAAAAACTAACCTCAAACTGGACCTTAGCTCATGGTTTACAAGTTCTTAGCTGGTGATGGTTCGTGATTACTTGGCCTCCCCTCCTCCAGAAAAGAAGTGATGTTCCCCCCCCTTCCCCTAGAAAAAAATCCCAGCAATGCACATGGTGCAGAGTGCAATACAGAAGTGACTCTATTGAAACTTTTTGTGTGTTAGGATTATGTCGAGAGTGAGGATGAAGAAGAGGCTGAGAAGGAGGAAAAGGTATGGTCACCTGACTTCCTTCTGGGTTCAGTTTATCCAATCAAACACCAGCCTTCAACCATTGTACATTGCTGTATCAGTCCATATGTTTTTGCACAGTTTGTTTACCAACAGTGAATGGCCTGGGGAAAGCAGTTTTAGCATAATCTATGAAAACAGGTTAATGGTGATACCTGGAGTTATCGAGGTTGCAAAAAAACAAAAACGAGAGGAGTTTAACAGATGTCCTTTGTGCCTGTGTAACTGTGGAGTCAATTTAAGTACTACCCACAACATCTTTATAGTCCATTCTCACCGTATTTAAACAGAAATTGAACGGAAGTCAAGAAATACGGCAGGGATGATGTTGGATAAATCAAAATAGAATAGAATGCTCCAATGTGTAATGACATACTTTCTTGATACGCTTGTTAAATTTTCGTTTCTCTTTAGTTTGACTTTGCTTGCATGACTAGTTAGTTATTTGAGTTGTGTATATGTTTAATGAGCACAGTTTTTCTTTCAAGATGCCTCTTGAGATTGAATTTATGTTTTATCCTTTGTAGCATGGAGTTTTACTGCATTGATATACTTTCATTAATTTTCTGTATTTCTGTCTTCTGTTTATGTGGCTTTTAAGAAACTGGTCCTTTTGATGAGGGCTGTAAAATGTTTTCTGTATGTACGGCGAGTTAAAACTGCAAAATGCAAGAAGTAATATGTTGAAACTTTAGATTAATGTGACGGGGTGAGAGTGTGTGTGCTGGCTGTCCATCATTTGTCTTGTGAAATCAACTTTCCCCATAGACGTTGGTCTAGTTTCAAAAGATTACAGAACTTTCTTTGTGTGTGCATTGGGGAAAATATTTGGTGTGTGACTTTTCTTTGTTTTTTTTTGTTTGTTTCAAAAAATATATTTGAATTAAAAACAGAAGAAACGCAAGGTAAGCCTTCAGCTTACTGCCTTTTTTCCTGTTTCATACTAGTTATCCTCATGCGCTTTAGTCTTCTTTTACTGCAGCAATATTTTCTCTCCCTTTTGGAAACTTGAAGTGTAAATAAGATAGTCACTCAATGCTTCTTCATTGAGTTGGGTGCATAGACCCATCTGTGAAGGAATGACTGTGTAATGTTGTTGATGATCATTACTCGTGCTGTGCATTAGATGGGGTGTAACTTCATTTCATCAATATATCACCTGTCTTTACACTGAATCAATTTGGGACCAGGGAATTAATTTACCTTTCTGTTATCACCTCTACCCCAACCTCCCCCCCTCCATCTCCCTCCCCCATCTCCCTCCTCCCCCTCTAAAAGTGCATTCTCCGAATTCCTTAAGTCAAAGAGCACTCTGCCCACAATAACCATAGCAACCAAAGAACCAATCGGAGTAAGGAAAAGCATGGCACATGACAAGATCAATTAGCTACTCATTCATCTGCACCAACCCCGAAAAATTCTGCCTTGGATGCCGTAGATCCACCCTTTGCAGCTAGAAAGTTTTCTTGAGGCAATCAATTCTCACCAGTCAGTAACTGATAGTGATATTCACTGGTCAATATATTCATCTGTTGGTGCAAATAGGTTGATAGGTGTATTCAATAGCCTAGTGCACATTTCATATATCACATACACTGTACGTGCTTTGTTAGCTGTCGTCTCAGCTGCTACCAAACTTGCTGATAGATCGTTAGCATTCATTGCTTTTCATTAATTCACTCATTTACTGTGTTCCAAGATATCTGCTCAGCTAAGTCCTTGTGTGCATTGCCCATATTGTGCTGTTTGGAACCCTAACCTTCCATAGTCTGCCGAAATCCAGTGCCTTCTCTTTGATTGACTTGGATGGGATTTCTTGATGGGAGTTAGGGCTAAGCATGCAAAGTTTGTCATCAAAGTAAAACCATGCCATGTCAAGTAGTAACTTGTGTGATGACATGCTATTACTAAGCAAGTTTAAGGCATTTGGGTGGAATCATTTCAGGGGGAAAATATGGAGCTTGCAAGTAGGTTTGCCAGGGTGAGAAATATGGCTCCAAGAATATGTTTGTCCAAATATGGTAATAGCAAGACCCCTATGCAACCCTGGGTCATTTTTTATAATTTTTGGAGTGCCTCTTTGACAGTCTCCACTTAAGCATTTTTCCGATGTACAGCATGAGAAATGATCAATCTACACCCAGGATCAAAATTTTAGAGATTGAAATTTAATGAAAAAGATTTGACAGAACACACATGTCACAATTTGGGAGCACATTTTTGTTCGGGAATTTTTTTTCTGACTGCATCTGTTTTCTTGGGTAAATACTTGGATTTTCCGACTTGTTTGTTTGGTGGTGGCGTTGACTCATTAATAATCTCTTTGTTGACGGCTCTAGCGTGTGTGAATGAATCCAACTTCAATATCCACAAGATCATTATGATAAAAATGTCATCTTCAAGTGAATCCGTCTTTAGGAATTCAACACATCACTTGTGCACACAGTTGAACTCATAAGCACTTGGTTTTGATGGAGAAGGAAATGAAGGACATGTGCCACCGAATAATCTTTTCTCTTTCTTTGGCTTCACACGTCCAATGGCTGGAATCACAGAAAACAACCAAGAGAGCTTTATGTTGTGCTGAATGTGGTCTTGAGTTGACTGTTGTTGGAATGTCACTCACTTCCTGTCTGAATCGTCATGTTTGTGTGTTTGTTCAGTGTGGTCAGTTAGTTGGTTGGTCAGTTAGAGAGGTTGGTTGTAGGATTATTTTATAGGCTCTCGTTTGGATTATGTTTGGTCAGGGTTTTCATTGATTTGCCTTTATAACTCAAATTTTCATCAAGTTTGCTTAACTGAGTAGTCTTCATAAATCCTATTTCATCTTTTTCACACTCGTGATGTCAACAGCAATTTCTGCAAATTATAACTGAACTTTTTTTGTAAGGCGTGTATCATAATGTAAAACCGTTTAACTCCCTAAAACTCAACAATGAGTTTTTTTAGTAAAGTGCACTCATTTTCATGACACCTGTTTGGAATTATGTGATTCATGATCATCACCAACTCTTGCACACTCATACATGTATGTGTTTGTTTGAATGTTTCAGAAAGGGAAGTAGTGTAGTGAAACAGGTTTGTTGGCATAGGTAGAGAGGCCACAGAAATGAACTAATTTTGAAGAAAACCTCTGAATTGAGAAGATTTCAGAAACGTGTGCTAGTGTATTCATCTGCAGCTCAGTTTAATTCGCTAGTGGGAGAGAAATGAATATTTAAGCCCCAAAGTAAACTGATTGCTAACTCAGATGTTGGAACAAATCTGCTTTTTCAGCACAAGATTTGTTACAATAAATAGCCATTTTCCCAGTGTTTTCTTCCAATGAGCCAGTTCAGTAATCCAACAAGGCATGCCCAGTGTGAGACTATTCAGGGAACAGCTATGCATGAGAGATAGTCTGTCCCATCAGGCTGCCATGCCCTGACTCACGTGCACGCTTTGTTTCCAAAAGACCTTGGCTTTTTGAAATACTGAACCAACTCATTTTGAGTTTTACAATGAACATTATCTTCAATCTTGCAATCCTTCTTGCCTGTTGTGTGTTTATCCTTTACGTTGGGACTGGTACTTTTCTACGAGCTTTGTAGATAATATTTGATAAATCCCTCGCTCCTCCTTCAAAGAAAGAGCCAATTTTTCACTACTTAGCCAAAGTCTGAGAGATCAGTGTCCAGATTTTTACCCCTTGGAGATAAGTGCATATCCTAGAGCAAGCTTTAGAAGGTGTTCCAAGTATCAAGTATCCCTTAGGTACCTCATTTTCAATATGGATGGACCCCATCTTACATGCTATATACACGTACATGCCAAACATTTTTTTTGCAAACTGAACTGCTAGACACTTTTGCAATTTGGCTCTGACAGGAAGTGTTAAATCCTGTGTGGAAATGTTGGGAAAATCCCTCTTATAGGAAGTGGCTTTCTTTATTTTGGTTTGGTTCCCCCCCCCCAATCAATCCTCCCAAATTGACCTATGATGATATAATCATGCCACCACCACCACTTTGGAACTATTGTCCAATAGAGGGATGGCACTCCACTTTTTTAATGTTTCCTTGTTGTGTTAAGGAAACCTTTACAGAGTACTATCTTCAAGGGATCTGTATTTGCTTGATATACCAAACTGGACACAGGACAAGCATGAGTAGAACACAACAAAATTTAATGTATAAAATTCCATGTGGTTCAATTCTCTCTCACAGATGACCAACAGAGGGCCACGGCTCACACTTGGTCACTGTTGCTGTCATTTACTTGGTACAAACATGACATCCCTAACAATTTGAACATAGTCTCATTACTTGAATGCATTGCTGGTACACAAACAAATGGGTAGATGGGTTACTCACGGGTATGCCAATCCCGCAAGCCTGGTCAGAATAATTTTCACCTTCAGGGGGCTACTGTCTAATAGGTGGTGAGCACCAAACTTTGCTTTGCAGAGAAAATATGCACCCAAGAAGGAAGGGATTACCTTCCAAACTGTACATGGTGTGTATTACTCATGACTGGTTCCCCTTCCAATTCAGCACATAAACTTGCCCAAGCAATTAGGTGAATTTTGCCCGAGCAAATTTTCGGCATCTTACGAGCACAGTGACAGCGGGCCCGGGGAAGTCATTTAAGATTCCGTCTGGCGGTTTCACAGTTGGCTGAAATGGAAATCTCCAATCATTGCTTTGATCTTTAGGAAGGGGCAACCAAGACAAGCTTCAAGGAAAAACTGCATACGATTGAAAAGGTGTGCCAGACAATACAGAACACCTTGGATGATGTCGCCTGCCTCGGAGAGAGGGTCAAAAAGTAAGTAACAACTACCACCAGAATGCGCCCCCCCCATGCCACTTGTCCCCACCTCCTCCATTCCTACAGTCGGTAGGGCATGATCCAGTCTTCTGAATAAACTGCTTTATGTGTTAGAATCTAATGGTTTTAAGGTGGCTTACAACTCCGGCTTGACCCAAGTGAGTGAGCTATGTCACTTTTAGCAATCCCATTTTGCCGTGCGTTCAAGATACTGTGAAGAGTGAAGTGATACCTTAAGAACAAGAGAAGCAAATGGAAAAGTTGGTTGTACCTTTCAAAGTCAAATGGGTGCCTAAACAGTGTATTAGCAAATGAGCACTTTTGAAGTTGTCAGGCATCTAATGCAGTGGCATTATTTGTAATTTCCTTGCAGTACCTTCAACTACACCGTGCCCTGGTTGTCTTACATGGCTTGCATTGTTCTCCTGATCATTGCTGTGGTATTGTATCTGATACCGTTACGGTATCTGCTGCTAGCTTGGGGTGAGTCACTGGGTGTGGCCTGTGAGCCACAATTGGTTCTGGGTAGGATTGAAAAGGGTGCTGTTCTTGATGAGCCCTGCTCAGGGTAAGAGCAGCCGCATCCCATTGAATCACATTGCCTTTGGCTGGAAACTACCCATTAGCCTATGGACACTGTTACAAATTCCCAGAATAGTAGGCCACATTGCAAGCAGTGCATCGTGGGAAAAATCAACAGTATATGTTCATTTTGTGTCCGTTAACGTACGCTTTGGAACAAGTCTTACAGACTAAGCAAATTTCTCCCTTTTTTGTAAGGAAGGGGGATGTTTGTGACTCAAGATGTTTACCTGAAATATTTTTCTGTGAATGCCAGTGGTTTGCACGAATGAAGCCTGGGATAAGGTTTTGTGTTTGCACGACACCTGTTGTAAAGAGTGATTGGCTGATGATTCATTGACTCTGGAGTTGATGCTTAACTTGAGTAATTGGCTCTTCCAGGCAAATGCTTGATGGCAAAATGTATAATGTTTAATCACTCGTGTATTCTGTTTTCCCTCAACTGAAGCACTGTTCAATTCTTGTCTAAACTGATCCCCGTTGATGTACATTTTACTCCCAGGCATCAACAAATTCACCAAGAAGTTACGGAAGCCTCATGCCATCCCCAACAATGAACTCCTGGACTACCTGTCAAGAATCCCCTCGGACAACCAACTCGTACGTGCTTTGTCGTCAGATCCTTTTTGTTCCAGTTTTGAACAATCAAAACAGTTGAGCATCATGCAAGCTCCTGTTTGGCACAGAGCACAGGCAACTGTTTTTTTGCTTTTTTTTACTTTTGATGGGAGCCAGCTAACGGCATTTGCACATGCGACTTCAACCTAAGTCTCGACATTCTGAAGTATGCATGAGTGTGTAAATGTTGGGATGTCGTTGGTGTTGACAGGGTAGTAACTTGTCTGTACATACAGTCTGAGGTCGTGCATAATGCATATTGTAACATGTCATGGAACGTTCACTGTGTCAGATGTTCCAATATTTCACCTTTTTACTGGAAATCAGGAACAGATGTTTTTGATCACCTTTCTACATTTAAGAATTGACAATAAGGTGTATGTTTAATATAGATGGAGGAAAGCATTAATGAGTGACAATGTGCATGCACCTGCAAATCGGGTAGTTGAATTTGGCAATGTGTGTGCCGTGATAGTAAAACTTTAAAATGTCCATTTTTTTTGTTGACAGAAACATTACCAGGAACTGCGACCAGAGAATTTACGGCCAGACTCTCCGAAGAAAAAAAGATGACGTCTCGTCATCTCGCATCACTGCATGTGTCATACTGATCACATGACTGCATGTGTCACACTGATCACATGACTGCAGCTGCTAGCATGCCACTAGGGCACAGCCAGACTGTTTTATCAGTGTGAAGCAAGTTCATTGACAGAGAAAGATGGAGAGCATTCATTGTGCAGTCAGTTGGGGACACTCCATGTTCAGATTTTATCAGTAATTGACGTTTTTCTTTCACTCAGTGATAACCTTGGTGATGTAATTTTGCACATTTGCCCAGTATTTCTGGTTGACTCTCTTAAGAAAGTACTTTAACCTTTGTGGATTGAATCCATTTTATGTAAGTGCAATTTATGCTGATTATATTCCCTCCCTTCTTTGATCAATGTGGATGTGATTTGGTGTATTGGGTACTTCTGATAGACTCTTTAAAGGAAGATTTTCTATCTCTCCAAATTTGTTCCATCTTACTGTAATTCTGGTCCGTATATTCAATCATTTCATTCATCAATTTTTTGATTTTAAATCGCTGTGCTATTTCCAGTGGGTTAAAATCCCTTCCATTAATTTTGTTTTGATTCCGATGTTCCAATTGGTGATAGAATATTTGAAGAGATTAGTACCATTTTGTATATTTGACCTATGACCACACAGGTCAAAGGTCATACTACATTACAATCAAATAAATCATTTCTTTTATATTTTATTAATTATGAGTAAAAATGTGAAAACAAAAGTCGATAAAATTATTGTATTACTAATGACTAAAATTGACAGAAAAATGTGAGCATTTGCTGACATTTTCTGAAGCAATTTGATGCTAAATTCTTCTATCAAATGTGCCTGCAAATTGCACAAGTTTTCAAAGTTTCATACTTTTGATCTAAAGGACTCAAGGAGTTTCATCAGTGAACACACAAGTAAAAGTGTCATTAATGTAACTCCATTCCAGTGAAACAAGTTGTAAGTGTAAATTATATCTTCAAACTTTCTTTGGCCAAGTTTTCCATTGTACACATATTTACAGTGAAGTCTTTGATGTGATTAAATCAGTACATGTCACACTCGGTCTTGGTGCTGAGTGGTTGGGTGATTATTCAGCAATTATAAAATGTCGATGGAAATTCAGATTCAGAGTTCAAAAATTATGAGAGTTGTAACCTCAAAAAAAATGTTTGCTGGCATTAATGGGAAAGCCTTAGCCTTGGACAATGTGTGACTTCTCTTTGAAGAAAGATAGATGAAGATTGTATTATGAACCTTTGTTTGCTGTGGACATGCATCTTTGTCAAGCTGATCCAGTGTGTATGATGTATATAGTTTGCTCACAAAGTTTATTTGTATATCTGTCATTCCTTTTTTTTTTGTAAATACTGGCAGTCTTGCATATACACTTGTTTAAATGGATTCTGAGTTTCCTCAACTATCAACTGCTGAACAGTTGGACCAACTCTTAAATGCCTTTTTTGTAAATAGTTCTCCTGAAAATTTCTTCAAATTGCTTGAGTCGTTAATTGTGAACAGCGCTTAGGGTAAGGACACTTTGACGTTTCTTCTAGTAGCCAAAGAATGATTAGTTGAGAGGCCACTCTAGTGCAGTGTTGCAGGAAACAGGGTATGGCTGTCAAGCTGGGTGTGTCTGGTTTTGAGTTAGGTTGTTGTTTTTTGTCACTCTCAAATTGACTGAAGAAACAGAGAAACTCTCGTGCTGTTCTTTGCTGTGATTTGCCGCCTTGCTGTGGTGTTTCTCTTTACACAAGTCAACTTTGGTATGAAAGTCATTACTCTGACATCAGTAAGCTTACAAAATATACGTGCAAATGTATCGTCGGACACCACTTGCAAATGTGACGGATGTCATAAAACTGAAATCTGACTGGCTGTATGGCCAGATGAAATGTTTAATTGCATGTTAACATCCCCCCTCGATGCATACACATGCTTGGAGCCTTCCTGCTACAGAATTGTTTCTGCGATCGTGATTGTTGCAAACAAATTGCGTTGGGGTGGGGCTGAGGGTGGGTGGATGTCACATGCCCTCTTTGAATGACATTGGACACATCCACCCAAATCGACGTTGAACGTTGAGACCTAAAATGTGATACTGCACAAATAGTCGTCTTGACTACCGGGACTTCATTGGTCAAAATTTCCACAATGCGTGAGAAAGAAGTTTCATGTATTTCACCATGTGAATCACACCTGTACTGCTGCTGTTAATGAAATATTGTTTGCTTTGTAAATAGACAAAATTTCTATATTTAGTTATATCTTTATACTGGCTGTGGACAGATTTTATTGTAAGAAAGCGGTTTGCAAGCTTTGTTGAAAAAAGCTTTGGCAACTGTTAACTCTTTCCCCAGTTATGGAAATATTGCACAAAATTGATTATTGATAATTGATTATCACATTTTAAGCAATTCAAGATAATTTTGCTTTGATTGTATTTCATTAATCAGTTATATTTCATTCAAGAAAATATTGAATATAGTATTTAAGCAAATTATATTCATGTTTGGACAATTCACAGGCAACCAGATATGGTAAGTTAAGAATTATATATTGAGATTGATTGGTAATAATTTTGATTTTTGTGGGAATTTGTTGATGTGGCTGATACGGCAAGTCATCCATACATTAAGAAAATGCACAAGCTTTTGGAAGAAGTGTGTCAAGCTGTTCATTGCAAATAGCCACAGTACACTCAAGCATATCACCAAATATGATTTGATCCACTTGCAGCCTTTCAAGTGCATTGGGATTCAAAGTCTTGATCTTATCTCAGCAGGGGGGGGGATTCATGTCTGGGCACATGACCTCACAAAGAAACCATTCCAGTAGCTTGGAGTTATTGTCACAAGTGCTGTTCGTTGCCTTTTTTTTACTGGTTTTTCTGAAGGAAAGTGTGACATTTTTGATTGCGATATTCATGCATGTACGTAATGACTTCTTGACTGTGCAATAACCAATAAAATTTCCAATCAGCTAAATGGGGTAGAATTGGTTTGTCCTCGACGTTTTGCAGCTTTTTGGTTTTGTACATGTGTTGCTTTCTTTTTCTTTTCATAGTTACTTTAAATCAGTCATTCATACAGGATAAGCCAAAGGCTGGCCTTCAGCATGGCTTCTGTAAACTGTCATACAATGAACACAGCATGGGTCCTAGCTTAATTGACAGAAGTTACTGTACATGGAAATTGCCGCTGCATTTGGCAGTGACATTTGAATGTGTGTCTTGTAGGGATTCTGAACAGCTAAATGAAAGATTTGAACGATGTTGGCTGGATTCAGGTCAAATTTTGTTGAGCTCAGGTTACAATAGCTGTGTCAGCATTGTTACAATCGCCTGCTTAATCGTCGTTAGCATACACACTCAGATGTGTTTGAATTCAATTTCGGGTTTTTCCATAGTCCTGGCGCAAGACGTTCTCAGCGCTGTTCTCACAATGCACGACTGGGGTACCGGGTGGTGATCCATTAAGCCCCACCCCATTGCTTTCTGACCAGTCACAACCGTGATTTATACGACGTATGCGCATATGATATACGCGGAAAAAGAGCACGTGCTAAGCGGCCACGTCGCAGTGGGCGGGGCTTACTGGATGAATCGTTCAATTATTTATAAACCGCCCTCTATCGGTACTAAGGAAGTGATGTACTGCCATTTCGGTACCGTGGATTATGTTGCGCGCAGGCGCAGGCTAGGCAAGGCCGGCCATACGTACAATCAATCTAGCGCCCGTGGGACGCTTACGAGGGAAACGCGCTCAGGAAAGACGGCTTGCATCAAGGCTAAAACACTGAACATGGTAACTTTTTAATTTTATACTTTTCTATACTGTTTGCAGCTAGCCAACTGGTTGAAAATAATTAACAGCAAGAGAGGTTGGGTGGCATTTCAGTTGTAGGCCAAAGTGATCAACTTGACACTGTTGACTGGCCTAGTTGTTTTTACCACTGACCGGTATATACACTTTACTCCGGCCCACATTGGATGCCAGTCTTCATTACATTATGGCTAACGTCTTGCCCCACAAATAGTGCTGTAGTAGCTCGCTTTTACAATCTGTCCCTTATCTGTCGCCAGTATTGTAAAAGCGAGCCACTACAGCCCTATTTGTGGGGCTAGGCTAACGTCATACAGTCGTGGAGTCCACCAGGGCTACTACTACTAGTACTGCCTACTTCCATGAGAACTAGGGCCTACCTGCGTCACGGTGGCCCTTCACTTATACGTGGACAGAAAACTAGAAAATCTCAAGTATCAACTAATTTTAATTTTCAAAAGTTGCAATCCTCTAATTTTCTTTCTTGTGATATTTTGGTCCCTATTTTCCATCTCAGGGAATCTAGTCCACATGAAATTGCTGTTACATTCCTAGACCCAAAGATACTGACTATAGCTTTCAGTGTTCTGCAGTGTTTAGGAGTGAGTTGTGCTAGTGGCCACAACTTAGCAGAAGTGTTGGACCAACGTAAAGTACTCGCATGAAACATCCATGCATTATTTTTGTAAGAGTTGCATGCAGAGATAAGTCAATTTTATCTTTTTACATCACATTCAAACTTTAAAGAGGGACTACTACACACTTTTTTCTTTATTTCACATTTTCCAACAATTTTCTCAAACCCCCCAAACTTGGGGTCATGCCATCAAAATACCGGTGGGGTCGGTTGGGAAACCAGAAGAAGAACTTTTTCTGTGACCAATTTTTACAGTATGCCTGCAGCAGTCTTGGAGCTAAGCATTTCTTAAATCATCCCTTCATCAGCGTCACTGCTGTTAAAACCACCTCTCTTTTGGCTTTATCCTTTTCCAACCCCCACCCCAACCTGTACTGTGACCTTGCACATTTTGTGCAGGTGGACAATTCCACACCAACTGTGACATGACTTGACAAGTTTCTTGACAACATGACAAGACTTGACAACATGACAAGTTTCAAATTGACTTTACAATTGTTCTTCACTATTGCCAGTTAGGGGTACACCTGAATTTAATGAATTCTAGGGAATATCATGGCAATACCACGTGGAAAATTATAATAAAAATGAAAGGGATTATTGAACATGTTGTCAATTTCATTGCCCCTTGACATTGTTGTTCAAAATGTGACAGTTGTAGAATAAGTTGATCATTTAGAGCTTCAATATCAATTGCGAACATAACATAGTTAGAAAAGTAATAAACTTTCCAATCACAAATCTATGGAATAAACATTTATCAACATTCCATTTAATATGATATCAAACTTATTGGAGTATAGAAAGAAATTGATGAGTTACAACATGTAGTTTTGGTCTTAGTCTGTTAAGATAGAGTTTTCAGTATGGAAACATTACATTCATAGATTTTCAGTCTTTTATAAGCATGTCTTCCTTATCAGAACTTTCCACATTTTGATATAGTCCCAAGAATGGGAAAAGACAAATTCCATCTAGTGTTAGTCCTGTAGTGGATTATAGTGGGGGAAATGACAGGACTTACATGTAAAGTTTCCTAACAGTCCATTTTGCTTCTGTATGCATGTTGATCTAACCTTCCAAAGGACATCTATGGCTTGAAACTTTGTTAATTTCTGAAGTTTACATCCTTGGTGGATACTACAGTATGAAAATTCATTTCCAATAGATATTTCACTCACCCATTTTGTGTACTGCAGCTGAACAGTAGCAGATTACAGTCAGAATGGGGGAGAGTCTTGATATGGTGTTTGTATAAAATTGCTCAGCTCTTGATCTTGTGGAAATTTTACAGCTAATCAATTAATACAAGGTTTTGTTTGAGGGGGAAAAGTCTTTGTCTGAAGCTTCTTTCTTCCAGACACAAACAAGTTAGAAACTGTGAAAATAGGGATTGTTATTTGAATTAGCTTTCCCCCTAAAAATGGATAATTGGAGCTGCTAATTCTTAAGGGGAGTTGGGATGGTCTTAGAAATAATAGCTGGTCATAACTAATGAACAAATAGGTGAGTACAGAGATAAGGGATCAGAAATCACAACACCATGAATACCCTTCTTCACCTTTCTGACCTTTTTGCCCATTAACACCTGGAGCACCTCTGCTGCCTGTTGCTCCTCGATACCCTCTTGGTCCAATTGAACCTGTTTGTCCTCTGTACCCTTTTGGCCCGGTAACCCCTTGAGGACCTCTGCTGCCAGTTGCACCTGTATTCCCTTTAGGTCCCCCTGGTCCTGAAGGGCCACGGTCTCCTTTTGGCCCAGGAGCTCCTTGGGGACCTCTGCTGCCAGTTGCTCCTTGATCCCCTCTAGGTCCTGCTAGTCCTGTTGTTCCATGGTCCCCTTTTTGACCTGGTACTCCTTGAGGACCTATGCTGCCAGTTGCTCCCTGATTCCCTTTGGCTCCTGCTGCTCCTCTAGGGCCACTGTCCCCTTTTTGCCCAGCAACTCCTTGAGGACCTCTGCTGCCTGTTGCTCCTTGATTCCCTTTGGCTCCTGCTGCTCCATTAGGGCCACTCTCCCCTTTTTGCCCAGCGACTCCTTGAGGACCTCTGGTGCCAGTTGCTCCTTGATTCCCTTTGAGTCCTTCTGGTCCTGTAGGGCCACGGTCCCCTCTTTGCCCAGAGGCTCCTTGGGGACCTCTGCTCCCGGTCACTCCTTGATTCCCTTTAGGTCCTCCTGGTCCTGTTAATCCACGGTCTCCTTTTGGCCCAGCAGTTCCTTGAATACCTCTGCTACCGGGTTCTCCTTGATCTCCTTTGGGTCCTCCTGGTCCTATTAGTCCTCTGTCCCCTTTTGGCCCGGTGGCTCCGTGAGGACCTCTGCTACCAATCGCTCCTTGATCCCCTTTAGGTCCTCTTGGTCCTATTTGGCCATGATTCCCTTTTGGCCCTGTGGCTCCTTGGGGACCTCTGCTCCCTGTTGCCCCTTGATTCCCTTTTGGTCCACCTGGTCCTGTTACTCCACGTTCCCCTTTTGGCCCTGCAGCTCCTTGAGGACCTCTGCTACCAGTTGCTCCTTGGTTACCTTTAGGTCCTCCTAAGCCTATTGGGCCATGGTTCCCTTTTGGCCCAGTGGCTCCTGGAGGACCTCTGCTACCAGTTGTTCCTCGATCCCCTTTGGGTCCTCCTGGTCCCATTGGGCCATGGTCCCCTTTTGGACCGATGGCTCCTTGAGGACCTCTGCTACCAACTGTTCCTCGGTCCCCTTTAGGTCCTCCTGGTCCTGTTGGCCCACGGTCCCCTATTTGCCCGGCAGCTCCTTGAAGACCTCTGCTACCAGTTGCTCCTTGATCCCCTTTAAGTCCTTGTAGTCCTGTTGGCCCACGGTCCCCTTTTTGCCCGGGTACTCCTCGAGGACCTGTGCTGCCAGTTGCTCCATGATCCCCCTTGGGTCCTTCTGCTCCAGCTGAACCACGGTCTCCTTTTGGCCCCGCAGCTCCTTGAGGACCTCTGCTGCCTGTTGCTCCTAGATTTCCTTTTGATCCTCCTGGTCCTGTAGGGCCAAGGTCTCCTTTTGGCCCTGCAGCTCCTTGAGAACCTCTGTTGCCAGTTGCTCCTTGATTCCCTTTAGGTCCTGCTGGCCCTGTTTGTCCTCTGTCCCCTTTTAGCCCAGATGGTCCTTGAGGACCTCTGCTACCAGTTGCTCCTTTATCTCCTTTTGGTCCTCCTGGTCCAATTTGGCCACAGTCCCCTTTTGGCCCAGCGCCTCCTTGAGGACCTCTGCTACCAGTTGCTCCTTGATTTCCTTTAGGTCCTCGTGGTCCTGTGGGGCCACAGTCCCCTTTAGGCCCAGTAGATCCATGAGGACCTCTGTCACCATTAGCCCCTAGATCTCCTTTGGGTCCTTCTGGACCTGATGGGCCTCTGTCCCCTTTTGGTCCAATGGGTCCTTGAGGACCTGTGCTTCCAGTTGCTCCTTGATCCCCTTTAGGTCCTTCAGGTCCTGTTTGACCATGATTCCCTTTTGGCCCAGTGACTCCTTGAGGACCTGTGCTACCAGTTGATCCTTGATTCCCTTTAGGTCCAGCTGTTCCTGTTAGTCCTTTGTGCCCTTTTGGCCCCACAGCTCCTTGAGGACCTCTGCTTCCAGGTGCTCCTTTCTCCCCGGTAGGTCCTCCTGGTCCTGTTGGGCCATGGTCCCCTTTTGGCCCAGCAACTCCTTGAAAGCCTCTATTACCAGTTGCTCCTTGATTCCCTTTAGGTCCTGCTGGTCCTGTTACTCCACTGTTCCCTTTTGGTCCGATGGCTCCTGGAGGACCTCTGCTTCCAGTTGCTCCTTGATCTCCTTTGTGTCCTCCTGGACCTATGTGGCCACGATCCCCTTTTGGCCCAGTAGCTCCTTGAGGACCTGTGCTACCAGTTGCTCCTTGATCTCCTTTAGGTCCTCCTGGTCCTATGTGACCACGGTCCCCTTTTGTCCCAGCAGCTCCTTGAGGACCTGTGCTACCAGTTGGTCCTTGACCTCCTTTTGGTCCTTCTGGCCCTACTTGGCCCCGTTCCCCCTTTGGCCCAACAGCTCCTTGATGTCCTCTGCCACCTGTTGCCCCATGGTCCCCCTTTGGTCCAACAGGTCCCTGAGGTCCTGTGTTACCTGTTGCTCCTTGATTGCCTTTAGGTCCGTCTGGTCCTATTTGTCCTTGTTCCCCTTTTTGCCCAGCAGGTCCTTGAGGACCTCTGCTACCAGTCGCTCCTCGACCACCCCTTGTCCCTGGTGTCCCCTGTTCCCCCTTTGGGCCGACAGGTCCTTGCGCTCCTCTACTGCCAGTTGCCCCATGACTCCCTGTTGGCCCTGTAACTCCTTGGGGACCTCTTCTGCCCTCTGCTCCATGATTCCCTTTAGGTCCAGTTTCCCCTTTTGCACCTTGAAGCCCTGGCAATCCATCCAGGCCAGCTGCTCCACGAGCACCCTGATCTCCTTTCTCCCCAGGTGGCCCTGCTTGTCCACTTTGTCCGCTCTCTCCTTTTGGGCCAGCAATTCCTTGACCAGGAATCCCTGGGAGGCCTGGCTTTCCTGGAAGACCAACAATCACAGGACACAAGCAACCATGTAGATGGTAAGACGTTCCTACAAGGGAGGCACTGGCTACTGATTGCATTGTCTCATCAGATGCACCATGGCCAGGAAGAAGCAAAGATGCAAAAACAACAGCAAGAAGTAGATGTTCTACCTGGAAATGATGAAATACAAGTTGAATCTGAGAACATGATAAAGATGTGGAAATTTAAGACCTGGAAGTTCTAAACTAAGTTTAAGGCATGGATGTCAGAGAAAAAGTGGTCTGAGAATAATGCCTCAGTTTGGATAGGAAGAAAGACATGGCTCCGGAGGTTTAAGACTATCGCTGAGACCTGGAGAGCCATGAGGACCATGCCATGAAAGGTCAGTACCAGGATAGAGATTTAGACCTGATGAAGTCCAAAGTTGAAACCAAGTCTTAGAGGATTCAGACCATGAGACCAAGGCACATTAAGAGATTTGACAAGATTGAAATTGAGACACGCAGGACCAAACCAAGAGTGAGATCTGAAGGCTAGACGTGAAGATAGAAACTGAGATCTGAAGGTCAGAGACTGAGCCAAAGACCCACAGGTCCAATATACTCTTAAGACTTTGGGCTTTGACACCAGTGGATTGTAAGACCTCAGTGGTATAAGTTAAAATTGAGACAGGGAAATTGGAAACCAGATATGGAGACTGAGATCTAGGGGTCCAACATTGAGACGAAGACCTGGAGGACAAGACTAATAATGGAGACTTTGGGATTGACACCAAGATGACTTGACCTTGAGGTCACATAATGATACTGACAGAAGGAAGTTAATACAGATAAAATCTGCAAACTAAGACAAAAACTGATGAGCCAGGGAGGATTGAGACCAATATCAAGACCAACAACTCTGCTAATGTGGCTTTATAATCTTCCAAATCTATAACATGAGACTAAGCAATTTTTTAATCTTTGTTTTGTTCAGTTTTTGTTCATAATACGTCTTCAGTAGTATTTGTTGTAGATGTTCCATTACTTTAACTTCAAAATGACTGGGAAAAGAGTACTAATTTCCAAGTAATGTAGGAAATGGTTTCTATACCAGTGCAGCAGGGGTGTGTAGATTATTTTTTAAAAATCTGGCTGTTTTTGGTCCAAATTAAATTCTGAGATTTCCCCCCTTTTGCATTATTTCCTCATTTATGATATCACAATTATTTTTTAAAGGTGTATTGAAGCTTTGAAATTGGTCTGTCATCAAACAGGTACATATAGCATAGGTTCCATTGATATGAAACTAAAATTGGTTTGGCTGACGTCAAATTTATAATCATAATCAAAACATCAAAAATCAATCAAAAATCATCAAGTTTTAGGAAAGAGAGCAAAAGTATCAAAAGTAAGTTGACTGACATTTTAATGTGTCTTGAAAAAGCCCAATATTGGACAATGGCTTTGAATAATTTGATCTATAATAACAAAATTTTGGAACATGCTGTTCAAATCTTTGCAAATGGTAAAAATATGTGTAACTAAATCACTGAATGGCTGTGTAGTAGCACTGGAATTTTGTCTTGGACAAATTTTAATATTGGAATATGTGAATCAGAATAAAAATGTTTGAAAATAGCTGGAAAAAAGTATATATTTCCACTGGCATTGCTTAGGGCATGTTTACAAAGCACTTGGCTATGCTCATGCTTACCTGTCACCAGTCCATAAGAGCATATCAAGGCCGCTATGCATTGGGATATGTATCTTAGTTACACTTCCCAGGGGAGTCTCTACAGACCGTGGTTATACAGTTGCCTATATACCGTAGCAGCAGTTTGCCTACATACCCTGCATGAGGAATATACCCTATATACCGTAGCAGCAGTTTGCCTACATACCCTGCATGAGGGATATACCCTATATACCATAGCAGCAGTTTGCCTACATACCCTGCATGAGGGATATACCCTATAGCAGCAGTTTGCCTACATACCCTGCATGAGGGATATACCATTGCTTGTTCATCTCCCAGTCTGGAAAAAAAACAACGCCTTTACAGCACCAATATTCTTTTAGCCATTTTTAGCAAGCCAAACTAGGATTGTGCAAAGAGCGTGATTATATGGCTCGTTTAATACCGTCTCGGTGCTTTTGTCTAGTTGCAGTGGTCAGAAAGTGTTGTTAGGGGCGACGCACTGCAATTATTAATTTACCCCTAAAAAAAAATGGGCAAAATGGCCCAAGCATATCCTTTAGTAGCAATTAACCTGGGTATCTCAAATGATTCTAGAAAAGGGAGACTTTATTGTTATATTAGTTTAAGAGTCTACTGTTTCATGAACAAATACATGTACATAATCTTCAGACGGTACTGCATATATGGGCCTATTCCAGAAAATGACCACCATCGACCACTGAGTGACCTCTGACCCAAATCAAGGCTTCACATAAGGAAGCATTTGACCAGATATGGCTAAAATCGGCCAAAGAATGTGACAGAAAGAGCCATTTTTTTTTGTTTTCATGACATGACCACCTTGACTAGTAACCACAACATGTTGGTCAGCTGATCCAAGTCCAGCAGATGGAGACTGTGGGAGAAGAATTATCACAATACCAAACATATTTGGTAAATTTTGGTGATCTGACTACTGCTATCCACTACGTGACCTTTGCCTCAATCAAAAAAACATGTACCATCAAGCTTGGGTCAGTTGTCCATTGGACAAAGTTTGGTTGAAATTGGCCCAGTGTTAATTAGTTGTTATAAGTTATAGCAATGTAAGGTTCACAGTCAAAAAGACCTCCATACAGAGCATAACCACAATCTTAGGGGCAAAATTTTCCTGAAACTTAGGCTGAAAAAGTTCATGCCTAATAATAATCCATACATGTAAATGCATATTCAAATAAAGGGATGGACCCCATCTTCCTCAATAAGTGTAGCCAACCATTAGAAATACTCCTTCCAAGAAAAAAACCAGATGTTGAACGATGTTAGTGCCTACAGCAAAGCACATTGCATCAACAACGAAGTTGAGTGCTGTAGTCTGTGACTCATAGAATGAACGAGTATAAAACAACAGTCTACATGTACAATTGAATATTTTCAACTGGAGCAGGATTTGGAAACTCCCCCCTAGGGTTATCATGCATTTGTTTTTAAGCTGTGTTAAAATACACAGTATACGTACTGGAGGACACTTATCGTTTGCAACTTGAAGATTGGAATTGTCTGCTCAAAGCTGCTTTTTTTTTCTTTTAGTGCCATCCCATTCCCCCATTTTGAAAATTTTGCCATTCAAGTCAAGCTTTGGGCTTCAAATTAGCACAGTTCATGGAAGAGTCTGTGATAACTCACCCAAGCCATCGTCCTTGATTCAGTTGCCAGTCTTCTCCTTGTTAACAGCATCAATCTCTTGGTGTTCAGAGCACAAGACAGCTCATCTCATTGCACCAACAGACGAGGGCTTGTGTGTTGTATCCTTCTCAGTGTGCCATGTTTTCTACTTTGGAACCGGAACTGAAGTTCCAGATCCAAGAGGGTCGGGGGAGTGCAGGTTTGAAAGGTAGTTGTGGTGAGATATTTGGCATCTTTAAAACATGCAAAATTTTAATTTATATGGTATTTCTTTCATATGCTACTGTAAACTGTACCCATTTCTTGCACTGTTCTCATGAACTACTATAGAATCGATAACAAACACAGAAGGCACTACATTTTTTGAAAGGCAGGTGATCATGACACCCCTTTATCAAAATAAAATAACCCTGGGGCAATGTAAATTTTTTTTCCTCCATTTTTTAAGGAAGGCTTATCATGATGCCCACTTGGTTCATTCTATCCGCGATGGTTTTTGTTTCTTTCCGTCTTGTAAGGGGTACTTTTTAACCCGGATCATTCTGCCCGACCGGTCTTTGTTCCTTGTAATGGAGCACCTTTTCAAAGGAATTTTCTTCTTCTGTACTGCCTTTGGACACAACTGTTGAATTAAGAAGCTTGTAGTTGAAAAAAGGTGAATCGTCGGTTTCTTTCTTTAAATCCCTTGTGAAAGTTTATACATTAAATCTGAAAACATATACAAGGTCTACTGAACAAGTAAGATAATCCAAAGAATCCCAAATCCTTCTCATATCAAGAGTTGATTTTGACAGTGTTGGTTTCTACTTTCTTTAGAAATGTGAAGGACATCCACTCAGTCTTGGAGGGGACGGTGTATGACGAAGATAAACACAGCAGTCTGGATTTCCTGGTCAAAGTGGAGATCCTGCTGCTGAGGGTGAGGTCTCTTCATCCAAGGGGTTACTCTGGCTGATAACAGCCCAGCCTCCGAATTGTATGCATGTGTACCCATGAAATGTTACAAGTGCCAAATCTTAGGCAAATTCAAATGATGGCATGTATAGGTCTGTCTGATTGCAAAATAATTTTGTCATGAGTCACAATTTTGAGATATATTTTTTTAATGAAAAGTTGTTTAACGTCTTTTCTTCAGAAATAAAAGGAGGACGGAGTTTAGTCTCCTCTCCTTTCCAATTGGGTAACAGTCTGTTGTCTTCAGTATGAAATATTTATGTTGACAATTATGAAGTTGAATATAAGTAGATGACTTTTTCCTTCTCTGGTTTTGCAGGTTAAAAAGGGGAGGAAATTCTACACCTTGAAGGAGAAAAAGTTGTGAAGACTAGCTAAGGGCACCATCTTGCTGCAAATGGACTTTGTCTTCAACAGCGTAAGCATGTCTAACCAACCAGATTTCCTTTCGTGTTTTATCGGATTTCAGGATGTGTGCACATCCAAGTTGTCACATGTGCAGATAAGATGTCATACTTTTAAGGATAGGATCTGCAGAGGCTCTCTTGGTAGCTTCATGATAAAAAAAAAGTTGGCAAGATTTCAGTCAACTGTTTGGCAAAGATTATTTACACTGAGAGTTTTGAGAAAAAAGCTATCATCATGTAAAAATATGAGAATTGAAACTTAAAAGTAGTTTTGCAGGCATTAATATGACTAAGTTAGCTTTGGACAAGGTGTAACTTCTCTTTAAAGAAAAGTAGTTGAAGACTGTATAATGAACCTTTGTTTGCTTTTGTACATTTATGCATCTTTGTCCCCTAATGAAATGCAAATTGGCCCAAAGTGGAACATGTACATGTTCTTGAAGTGTTATTTCCTTTTGTAAATAGTCTTCTTGCATCTGTTTGAACAGATTCCGAGTTTCCTCAGCTTTCAACTGCTTGACAGTTAGGTCAACTCTTTAATTAATGCCTTATATGAAACATGTTCCTGAAAATGTCTTCAAATTGATCAAGTCTGTCACTGTCAACAGCTTTCAAAGGGCAAGGCCTCTTCATGTCATCTAGCAGCTTGAGAGCAATTACTTGGGATGTGTGGTGGTTGCAGTACAGTCTTTCAGGAAACTGGTTATGGCTGTCAACCTTGTGTTTCAATTGTAATATTTTTATTCCTGTCTTTGAAATGACTGAAGATGGAAACCCTATATTACCATTGTTCTTTGCTGCCCCATTGTACATGTATTTTTCTGTACATGGGTTGAATATGGTATGAAAACTAATACTTCTAACAGTAATCTTGCCAAATAAATCAGTACACCCTAATAAATTAAATTAGGGTCTGTTTGACACAGAGTTTAGAGCTGAAATCCTAGGTATGTTCTGGTTGTGAACTGTTCAGTTGGGTGTTGATATTCCCCCTACACTTTAAGGAAACTCCACCCATCCTTTCACAAGTACAGAGTGGTTTCTATGGTGATAAGTACAGGAAGACTGCCTCAATTTTTTTTTTTGGGGGGGGGCATATGCCCTCTTGAATTAGATTAGACAAACCTGCCCACAATGCCAATTTCATTTATACAGTGATAACTTGGGTCCTGATTTCCATCATGTATGTTGGAAACGTTTGATGTAATTCATGATTACAAATTTAGCAGTGATGCACACCTGTAGTGTAGCTCTGAATGAAATAGCGTTTGCTTTGTCAATAAGTACAGGCATTTGTGTGTTTAGTAGTATCTTTATATGTTAACGGACATCACTGATTTTTTCCTTGTTGGAGTGGTGTATTAGCCATCAGAGTGACAGGTTTAATTTTGGTGGGGAAATACTGAGGCATTGCTTAGAAAACACCAGTCTCATTGGACCCTGTACACAAGGTGTTGAGTGACGACTAGACATGGAAATCTTTTGCAAGTCATCTTAGTACTGAAACAAACCTACATGTGATTTTGGAGGAAGTGTGTCTGGCTACTCATTGGATATCTTGAGTAACCCACTACACTTGAGCTCTTCATCAAATAAGATTTAATCCACTTGTTGCCTGCCTCAATACAAAATAAGCAAAGTGCACTGTGATTCCCAGTAATCTTTGAACTACATGTATCAAGTCCTGATTTATGTGTGGATATGTATACAATTCCCTATGGCAGCAATTTGAAGTAATTGTCAGTAGCACTGATGCTTGTTTTTAGTTTTGGAGTGAGTGTGCCAATTGTGCCTAACTTTTCAATAACTAATAAAAATTTCAGTCAAATCAGGAATTGTTTCTTTTGGAAATTTTGCATATTTTTAAGACATGTTAGAGGTGAAATTTTTTTTCACTGTTAATAATAATACAGAACACATATAATGTGCCGGTATCTGCCAAAAACTGACGCTCATGGCGAAATGTGATCATTTACTCAGGACAGGACAAAGGCTGGCCTTTCGAGATTGCCTCTACTGTGAACTCAATGAGTACAGAAATGAACAGGGCCGAATTTCAAGGCGCTGCTAAGCACACAATTTCGCACAGAGACTTCATTTCATGAAGACTGTAAGCAGTAAGCGCGGCTAAAAAACATGCTTACCCTGGATGAAAAATTTCCTTCACATACATGTAGTGACAAAACAATGGAAATCTGTGTGTGTGTAGCTGTAAGCTTGACCACCAAAACATCACGATATAGTGCTTATGGTTATGTTTCTGCTATATAAGCAGGACTTTTCTGCTAATTGTTCAGCAGGCCTCTGAAATTGGTCCCAAGTCCTAGCCAGCTGCCAGCATGACCAAGAGTCTAAAATAAAGAATATTGCTACACTTCTCTGCAGTTTCCAGCTGATGTTTCCTTTTTATTTAATTTCAATATTACAACTTGGTTTTTATCCACTGGTCTATGACAAACTGGAGTGTATGACCTTGGTGGAAAAGAAAGTTACTGCGACTTGGTTGTAAAAATTTAAGGACTCCAAAACGTTTTACTGTGCATTTACAAGGAAAGTATCGCTTCAGTCCTCATCCTTGCTGAATTCTTCACAGTGAAAAATACTGCAGACAGCTGTGGCCCTTGACGTTATTTTGCTTGCCAGAACAAGCTGGAAAATGTGTTTTTCCTGTTTTATAAACTCTGACGGTGATCATTTATTTTGTTGGAGCCTGTGCTTGGCTTGTGCCGGCCTGAGCTTTCCTCTGTGCAGCTAAGACAGCGATCATTTCTTCCCTCTTTCTCCTTCCCCGACGGAGCGTTCCGAGCTAGAAAACGAGAAGACAAGACCACTACGATGTGTACTACTCTGAAAAAACCTTTGATGCAGAGTAGAGGACTTTAGTTTTGACTTCCAAATGTTGCTAACGAAATGAAATGGACCTTACACTTCATAGTCACAGGTCAAGCCCATCTTTGAAACTACTTGGCCACACACTTCATTACCCTTGAAAGTCAAAATGGTTACATCTTTCCAGACTGCAAATTTTGAAGAATTCAGAGAGCTTGCTAGCACTAGTGCTAACACCATCAAAAAACAAAACACAAAACCACGCAATTTTGCTGTACTTACTCTTTTCTTGCAGAACTTGAGGGCTCTTTTGTCTTTGCTGACTTTGAGCAACTCCATACACCGCTTCTCATAGGGAGCAAAGCCACAGACCTCACGCACTAGATCACGTACAAACTTGACGTGCTTGCGAGGCTAGTAAAGGGAAAAAGAACTTCTTTCATGACAATACATTCTTCTCGTTTCATAAGAACACTATGGGGATAGAACTGAAGGTTTTGTGCGGCCGCGAAATGGTATGGTTTGAGAACAGTACAGCAGTGGAAGGAGTCTCTGCTATGAACTTCAGTTGTGAATAACAATCAACCATCTTGCCAATCAACAGATAAGAATGACACAGTTTTTGTCTCATGACTCACCCCCTTCTTTTTTGGTTTGGCTACATTTTTGGTCGTCTTGAAGCCCTTGTTGAGGCCAACACACATATCATGCCGGATTGCCATGTCTAACACAAAATAAAATCAAATCCACTGAGGAATCAATTTTCTATGGTTAAGTTGTACACAATTTTTGAAGAATTTTTTAGTTTACATGGAGTCGTAACGCTATGGGTGTTTTAATCAAACTTGAAAGTTGAAATTCTAAGAGGTATTTCTAAGATCTTGAAACCTGTCACAGCTACACAGCACAGCGCGTGTCACATGTTCCGATGGCAGTCACACAATGGAAACAAGTACATGTAAAGTTTCTATCCCTGCCACTGAAAATGCTAAAACCAAGATGGTGCAGAACATGTTTTGCCACTGGTGAGCCCGATGCAGGCAAAATCTGATTAACACGAAAAGCATGAATCGAACGATCGTCGTGGGGTTGGAACAAGAGATTGGCAAGTAAAAATCTCATTTTTTCCCAAAAATACTCCGTCTCATGCTCTGAAACTATTGTTATCCCCTTTTAGCAGGTACAGATCAATCAGATATGCTGACAGGAAAATTGGGTTTAATAGTTTTCTTACTTAGGCATTAGGGATGTAGCCTAAACCATTTCACCACAAAAATTCAATTCCAAAACCCCATACTAGCGTTACGACGCCATGCAAACCTTGTTTCCTCAAAGTCACACGGAGTATCACGGTGTTAGTAACTTCTAGTTCCCGAAGTAGATGGAATCCAGACTAAGAGCCTCGGCCTATTCATATCAAAATGCTTCAGTCTCTAAGTCAAACATGTCAAATCACTGCAAAAAGATAACTGGAAAATATGGTTGAAAATTTATGAGCCTCCTTAAATAAGGGACCTGGCAACTATACGGTCACGAACGTTGGACCTAGTATTTTTCAGACCAGTCTCATATATACAAGAAATATCAGAGTCAGATATCAATCTAATTAGAGTTCAGCAAATGGTTTCGCTTGTTTACGTGTACTCATCCACCATGTCCACCCAGGGAAAATGTCCGCATAGAACTGGTTTATCACCCAAACAGCATGTTATATAGAGTAAGAAATGTAACGATATGGTGAAGAAGATTTTCAACTTTCAATGTATTTATTTCTAAAAACAAAATGCCCATGGATTAAGCCGATACCGAAGGATTATGAAGACGGGTTTCTAACCATACCGAACTTGTGAAGGCAACCCACGAAAAGACTTCAGTATAGTATCGGAAGTACAAGTATGACAATGCATTGTGGGAAATAAATATGACCTTTGACCTGAAACTCGAGCGCCGAAATTTTCTTCATCATGCGGTAAGTCACTGTTCTGTCTCGCGTTAAAATTTTAAATTTCGTCAATTTTGTCATGTTTTAATAAAGTGAATGGGATTAAATAGTACATATGCTTCATATTAAATGCTTATTTCAGTCAAATAGGAGACAAAAAACGATGTCAGGGTCTAATGACTGTGAAGACATGTTAGAGTGTTAAGAGTTAGCGCCAAATTTAAAAGTATTCACGCTGCTGTCTGAGGTTGTTCCATTTAATTACATGCATTGCACTCGCAGCTGGACAAAAGGGTAATCCTCCTTTTGCATGTTTTCCTCTTTTTAGCTGCAACGTGATAAAAATAACTAAAACCTTTTTCAGTTAGTGTGGGAAATATACACAACAAATTGAAAATGCATAAACAGTGAAATTTCGAGCATACTTGATAGGAAGGTTATGCATATTGACTAAACTCATCGTCGTCATAACCATGGAGGAAGGAGGGGACTTCCTCCATGTCATATATGATATATGACATGGAGGAAGTCCCCTCCTTCCTCCATGGTTATGACGACGATGAGTTTAGCCAATAATTTAGATTTTCCCCATAGTCATTGAGAAGGCCTAGACTACAACACGTTTTTTGCCCCTTTGAGTTTCGAGTGTGAAATATGGAATAGCCACCAATTGACCAATCAGAAAAAAGGAATCAAAACTCTGTCCTGTCTGTGATGTCATCCCCAATGCGAGAATGCTTGAAGTACATGTACACAAAACCTATAGTATGAGACTAGACGTGGAGACTGGTCTGAAAAATCAGTGAAAATGGAAATATTTGTTCAGTAAACCTGACAGCCTGATGTGATGCTTGCTCACCCTTTCTAAGCCTACATTTTAGATGTTTTAACCCATGAAACTGATCTGATGATGAACTTAACACTTTCATGCTGATCTGCATACCACTCAGACCTTGCTAAACTAGTTATGTCCATAAATGAACTAAGCTCCTCTAGTAGTTGTATGAACATCACAACTCAGAGACTCTCCCTAAACTCAGAGAAGTCCCTTTATTCCGGGACAAAATCAGTCCCCCCAAAAAGAGAATGTCCCTCTAAATGGGGACTTTTTTTTCATGTGGGCTGGTGTGTTTAAAAAGGGGCTCAAAACATTGATCAGTGTGAAATGAAGGGGAAAAAATCAGTTATGAAAGGCACATGACTGAAGTGAATAGACCCCTGCCCTTAGTTTCTCATTGTTCTGCTGCTTCGTGGAGGAATCAAACACTCCAACCTTAGAAAGGCTCAATGACAATCCCCAGAGTTGTGGGGGTAAGAAGTTGAGGCTGTTTATTTTGGTGCAAGTCTAAAGTGTGGCCTTTTGCGTCTATGTTTAAATTCAAAAGCACTCCTAAATTCTTTTCAACTGTCATTTTTCCACACGTAGAAATTTCAAGTTCAAGCTTTCCCGCAGTGCCAGACAGAAGCAAGAACAAGCGAGTAACTCCTGCGAGACGACTCTGTCTGGAGTCATCCCCCCGACGCAGGCACCATGCACCTCCCAAGCATCACTCGCTTCCTGGTTTCAAGCCCCATCCAAGTCAGCCCCGACCCTCCCTCTTAAACCCCTATCCAGCAACAACACTTCAGCAACAGCTGCTGCGTCCCGTCAGTCGAGCTTGGCTTTGGCCCCACCTTTGCCTAAGTTGCTCGCATCCTCTGACCCTGTCACATCACCTGTGCAAACCTCAAAGCCTGTTGCATCAGTTCTGCCTTACACACCTCAGAACTCAGCGTAAGTGAAGACCGTCAATGGTGAAAGTGCCAAACTCATTCAATAATCTTTGTAAAATATGAAGTTTGGAATTTCATTGTCCACCAAAAAATACAAATCAGAGGCAGCACAAAGAAATATATGTCTTTACAATTGATCACTGCTTATTTTTCAGATGGATGCAGACTTGATGCATACTTACCCTATAAAAGATAACGTACAGATGTGGAAGCCACTTGAATTACCTGTGTTTTCACCAGGTGTCCATTCTAATACCCCAGAGGGTTTGTGCGCATTCAGTTAGAAACTTGCCTTGCATACAATGCCATATGCACCCAAACCAGTAGCTCTGCTGTCCCGTATGCTGGAACCATGTTGATTGATATTTTTATTTCTGTATCTTTTGGGGGGAAAAAGAGAGGAAAATTCAGTATTCATTATTGAGTTTTTTGTTTAATTGTTAGTGGCAAAGTTAGCAGGAAGTCATCTGACCAGCATTCTTCTTCAAAGTTTTTTGAACTGAATGATGTGTTCACCATTGAAGATTCCTTGCCCAATGATCTTGATGACTTGGATGATTTCCAAGAATCTCCACTATCAGGTTTGAAATCATTTTTTCCATTTGTCTCATCAATTTCAAGTCCAGTATCCTGGCATCTTGGCATTCTGTGCATCTGTCTTGCTCCCTGTCTTATGTTAGAGCTTTTTCTTATGGACTTGTTCCCCAATCTTCAAAGGTTTCCTTTGCCTTGCCTGCATGGCATCTCACAACTGACATTCTGACGTCAAGTTTTTACATTTTTGCCACTCACACAAAGACCTCAAAGTTAGGTCATGCCGCGTTCAGTAAAAACCTCAAGCTAATACTTTGATCACCAGATAAAAAGAAGCAGCACAGTCCACGAATTGATAAAGTTAGAGGATGGAATGTGAAGCCATCACCAGGGAGGAGAGATGGGAAGAGTTATGAATGCATTGACCTGACAGATAGCGTGGGCAAGACAGCCAGACAAGAAGGGAAGACCAGCTGTCCGGACTACTCGCGGGAGCAGTCAGATGAGGAGAGCGCAGGTAAGGAATGGAACCCGAAGCCGCATCATGAGGCTCAGAATCAGAGTTGTAATGCAGTCACAAACTGTAAGACTTATGATGGACTTGTTAGGAATTGTGAAGGACCTGCAGTTTCTTGTTAGGACTGTTAACCACTTAACGTTTCACTATTTTCTGTGGTAATCTCAAGAAAAACTTTCAAATGCTGGCAACTTCCATATATCAGATAGGATAATATATTAACACACTATCACGGTTGAGCTGCTCCCATTCGTTTTGTTCATGCAGAGATGGTGATGAGCTTGAGTCAGCTGACCGTGACTCAGCTGACTCAACTGTGAGCCTGAGAAGCTATGGAAATGAAAACTCTTTTGTAAATGACTCCCAATAAGGGCCGGGGTCTGTGGTGACCTTGATTTTTTCCCGTGTCAAAAATCTGAGATTTTTTCTGTAACAGATGAGAAGCTAATCAACAGATCTAGACGATTGAGTAGACGTCACAAAGCAGCCTTGATAACAGATGACAGCGATGAAGACGAAAATAAGGAGAATAGTAAGTCAAGCAGAAACCACAGAACAGATCTCTCAAACATTATGTTCCTAGTAAATTCAGGAAGATTTTTCCAAGAGAGAATTGCCAAACTTGGCTGTATTTGAATGGAAACAAAAGTATGCTCTTTCTACTGTGGGTGAAAATTGAGTAAAAACACAAACTTCATCCAGATTTTTAATAATGACGCTATTGAGATTTTAATTAAAAGTTTTTTGAAAAGTTACATGTAACGACAAGTTTTTCGTTGCAATCTTTCAGTTGTATGCAGGTATTTTGAATGAACAAAGATTCATTTCTCTTTGTAGATGAGGCCGACTTTAATCTTGCTCTCCACGGATATTCTACAAATACTCTGAATTTTATGCCAGCCACCTGTGAGTTTTTTCAGGTAAGTTAACACATGGGTGGTAACATGCATTGGTGGCTAGAAACACCACTGTCAAGTTTGAATGAAGAGTGAAGAATGTAAAAATCAACCCTCTCAACATGGAGAAAACTTATTCATTCCATTTAAGGAGAGTCAAGACAGGGCAGAGATCCAAGACCCAGATGACTTGATTGATATTCCGAGTCCCTCACCTCCGCCTACCGAGTATGAGTACTACTCGGATCCAGATGATGTGTACCCCTCGTTCACCAACCAAGATCAGGCTGCAACTGACATGGAAGAGTTCTCCCCGCAGACTACAAGAAGCGCTCTACATCCGAAGTCTTCCCATCTGGAAGCACAGCTTAGTACAGCTGCAGCCGAACAGAGCACTAAAGATGCTGGCAACCAAGAAACTGGAGGGTCGACAGCGAGGGACTCGAAAAATGTGTAAGTGGACCCTGGTCTGATTTCTGTTGGAGCTGCCATAGGAATTGAGTGTGCCTGTCGTCTCCACTGTGTTTTCTCTCTCTCTGGGTGAGGAATGGGTGTCATCAGTATTGATGCCCATAAAAATGTATTGCAGTTATAAACAATGATAAGAGACCTCTGACTTGGCAGATCAACTGGACCTCACACCTGTGATGACTCCTGCTCAATGCCTGTCCTGGTCTGTATGTTGCCTGATTTTTCAAGCCAAGCTTGCAGCTTTTATTTTGAGTATATTCTGGTATGGTTTTTAATCCCACTTTTGACACCAAAATTTCCCATCTCTCCTCTCATTCCAAACTGGGACACTGAAGGCAGAGAGTGCTGTTTACCAGGCAACCCATTTCAAATCAGAAATAAAATTAATCACTGAAAAAGCAACTCAGGAGAAACTTGGGTTCAGCTTAGAGTTTTTAACTTCGATTTTCAATTCAATTTGTGAAGCCATCCTTGGATGATCTATTCATGCTTGTTTTATTCAGCTCTCCAGTTGATGAAAGGTACTACATGAGTCATCCATCGATGCAGCCCTTGCCATCCAAGGTAAACTCGAGGACCAATTAAAGACAGGCAGTGGGCAGGGAAGAATTGCTTTACAGAGAACCAAATTAACTGAGAACCAAAATGACAAGGAGTTGACATCACCTGCCACCCTGTCTTCTGCTAAGCTGTATGTTTGTCTCAGCTAAGCAGGATCTTTACTCTCTTGAAAATGGCCTCTTATCAAGTCTTCTCGAATCAACAGACCATCATAAATTTCTGGTCAGTCATCATATTGGGTAGCTATATGTTTCATGAGTGCTGTCTTTGAAAGTGCCCTGAGTCAGTTGCCAATGGGAGGTCCACATGTGGTTGGAATGTCCCCCACGGTATTTACTGCATCGTGTGCCTACCAGTTTTATGAACAGGGAAAGCACATTAGAGAGTTATGCCTCGTCCCAGTTACTTTGCTGCATCATGAAATTGCACATGATTCTATGAGAATTGGCTTCAGCTTCAGCCCACAGACTCTGGCATAAGGTAAAGCTTCAGCCAAGTAATTCTCACAAGGCCTTCTTTTGCCAAAATGGCAACAGGCAAATGACAGCTCGCGCATTGCTTCCAGCTTTTTATCAGGAATAATTGTCCAGTTTGTTCTCACTCAGATTTCTAGCGGTGGCCTGCAAGAAAGGATCGATAGTCTGAAGCAGCTGATGTTTGATGTCATGGAGCAAATATGTGACAATGTAGACTCTGTCTTAATTCAACAAGAGAGGGCAGCAGATTGGAACACCTCAAGCCTCTACTGGCACTCAGGTAGGCTGTAATGCACTTTTCTTTTCACTGTGAGTCATTTTGCACTTTTTTGTAACAGTTTGGAAAAGTAAAACTGGAGGATGAATGATTGTGACTTTTTTCTGACAGGAAACGAATCAAAGCTAAACACAAGCAAGCAGAAGCCAAGCTGAGACAGCTTAACTCAGGAATAAACCACCGAACCTCAACGAGCCCACAAAGAATCCAGGAATCTGCCCTGCCCACAATCCAGCCAAGGTCACAACCTCCCATCCCTGCTCCTGTTGACACATGTCTCCCCTTGCAGATGTCAAGCACATCAAACAGTAAGACGCCCAACCAGAGCACTTTCAGTTTCAAACTGAAGACCACGAACTCTTCCTTGAAATATACGCCGTCGCCTTCAGACACAACCAACAAGATATTTGGCACAGTTCCAGGACGCCTGAGTACAAACTGCCACAAACAAGGGGTCATAACGACCCCACTCCAGAGAACTCTGCCTAGCAACATCAGCAAGATAAGCCCCGGATTCCACTCCCCAGATGCTGGTTTTGGAGGAGACGGTTTCCATGACGACTCCCCTGCCATGGCAACCGCGTCTGGTTTGAACAGCACAACACCTAGCTTTAGTACCGTGAACAAGAAGAAACCTCTTGAACTTTCTTCAGAGAGAAGACCTCAGTTGCAACCACTCATGCAACGCAGTAAACCAAGTACAGTCCAAAGGGCATCAGATCTCATGTCAAATGAAGGTAAACTGTCATCAGGCTTGGGATGAATCATCTGGGAACTTCATTCAGTTACAGATATAAACTAGATATACGTTCTGAGGTCTAGTTGGTTTTACAGATGAGCACACCAAATATGCCCTTCAGGGATTGTTGATATTTTTTATTAATTAAAAACATTAACCACTTCGTGCCGGGGAATTTTTCAACGTTGATGATGCTGGGCCGGCATGACTATCATTTTTTCCGTTTTCAAAATCCTTCAACAATTCATCATTCCACTTAACAGTCGTTTATAGCCACACAGAGTAATCTTTAGGCACTACTCAAAGTTGACCGGTGACCTTCATTGATGCCCGAATATTTCAGCCAGGCCTGCAGCCTTGTAAACAGAGCCCAGATTGTGCGGTGTTATACAACTGTCTTTTGCTCACGAACCTGGCTCAGTGCACTGCTGACCTCTTTTCAATAGGGGCCAGATTAGCGTGCAGGGGTGCTGTGTGGCTCATTGCTGCGGTGGTGGAGTGCTTTTGTCCCCGGTGGTAATCCGCTCGCTCTAAATGCCCCAAACCCTGGTATACAGTTTCAAAACAACGCTGGANCCCACAAACAAGGGGTAATAACGACCCCACTCCAGAGAACTCTGCCTAGCAACATCAGCAAGATAAGCCCCAGATTCCACTCCCCAGATGCTGGTTTTGGAGGAGACGGTTTCCATGACGACTCCCCTGCCATGGCAACCGCGTCTGGTTTGAACAGCACAACACCTAGCTTTAGTACCGCGAACAAGAAGAAACCTCTTGAACTTTCTTCAGAGAGAAGACCTCAGTTGCAACCACTCATGCAATGCAGTAAACCAAGTACAGTCCAAAGGGCATCAGATCTCATGTCAAATGAAGGTAAATTGTCATCAGGCTTGGGATGAAACATCTGGGAACTTCATTCAGTTACAGATATAAACTAGACATACGTTCTGAGATGTAGTTGATTTTACAGATGAGCACACCAAATATGCCCTTCAGGGATTGTTGATATTTTTTATTAATTAAAAACAATAAATTTCTCAAATGCTGTGTAAATGCTTTCTGATATTTTTGGTTTTCGTGTTTGGTGAACTCACTCTGCCTTGAGATAGCCTGTCCCTTTTTGGGTGATGCTTTAAATGTATGATTTAGAATAAAAGGAAACTTCAAATTTTCTTTAGCTCAGAATAAAACAATGTATACAAGATTCCTTGTGGGGATGCAGTGAGTCCAATAATCTCTAATTACTCTCCTATAACATCCTTGTCCATCTAGTTTTGAGTCGTCACAGTCAATTCAGCGGGACCAACTTCCCCCACTCAAAGGAACTTCTCAAAGTGTTCCGTCAGACGTTTGGCTTGCATCAGTTCCGTCCTGAGCAGCTGGAAGCGATCAACGCAGCGCTGCTTGGAGAGGATTGCTTTGTTCTCATGCCTACAGGTAAGTTCCGTTTGAAGACTACCCCCTTCCCCCGTGTCTTCTTTGCATCTGCCTCCTGCAAATTTGGGAAGTTTTCCTAAGCTCTCGAGTATATCCACTCAAATCAGAAATAAGAGGTGGTGTGCTTTCACATGACAGCGATGGCCCTTTGATGGGAACTCACAGCTCAAGTTCATATGCATTTTGTGTGGGATGTGCTGAGCTCAAGTGACCCAAATTCTGTTGAAATGTATCACATCTCTGTGTTGTCAGGCACCCTGATGAAATAATTGGCACCAACCTGTCTCTTCACGGCTGGTGAGTGGCAGGAAGCTTCAAGTCAGTGCCGATTGTATCTGCATTATTTAAGTGAAGAACAAATTCATATATTGAATCTGGATCACTCCCCACCCCCCGGAAAAAAACATTTCAACGTTTTCTGATTTCATTCTGTTGATTTGTTTGAGTTAAGGCGGAGGGAAAAGCTTGACCTATCAACTTCCAGGAGTGCTGACCGACGGCGTGACCTTTGTGGTGTCGCCTCTCAAGTCGCTCATCCAAGACCAGGTCCAGAGACTTGTGTCACTGGAGGTAATTTCTGTCAGCCTATCATGTTTCATCCCAGCCAATAGTCCTCAAACTTTTCTTACATGAGCTCATTCTCAAACTCATTCTAATCTACCGGGGTTTCCTCCACAAAGTATCTTCTGTCTTTCACAGTGAGCTAGAATACTACAAATTTCAAAAGAGAGTGGGTAATGTTCACTAGATAAACTTAACATAAGCTTGAAATATTGTTTTTCACTTTAACCCCTTCTCGACGGGAATTTCTTTCCGAAAGCCGACTCCAAGAATTCCAGCCTCGCTTGGCCACGAAGGCCACCTGCCAAACCGCAAATTCTCGGTTTGTGGCCCAGCGTGCTGTGCACGCTTTGAATTACACGGTGGAAAGGCTGATTGTTCGGTGGCATGTGGCTCTACCCAAGCTTCCACATTCCCATTGCCTCTTTTCAAAGTGGGGACTATTGTGAAGCTGGTGATTATGATGCAAATTTGGTCTTTTCATTTCTGGGCTACACACAAAAACCAATTACCATATATACAAGAGCCAGGGTCTGCATTCTTTCACCGTGTTCGCTCGAGCGTGGGCCGAGAACAATAGTAGAAAAGCGGGCTGAGGATCTCAATTTTTACGGCGTGTCTCAACGCGTTCAGGCGTGAAGGGGTTAAACGAAGTCTCAATTTCCATTTCTCACAGGACTGAATGGCAGGACCTTTATAACAATTATAAAGAGACTCTTTAATGATAAGGTTTTTTACCCTAGGCTTTTCTTCACACTAGTCCACTTATTTGTTTCAAATTTATGTAGATTCCTGCTGCTCACTTATCGGGAGATTTGAAGAAGGACTTCGTGGATTCCATCTATCGACAGCTGTCTCTTCGAGACCCAGGAGTCAAGTTGCTCTACGTTACACCGGAGAAGGTCAGTCTCTCATCAGAGAACATTTCTTCAGAGAAAATCCTTTGCCAGGGAGAGAGACTTAACTTGGTATTAAAACGTTGAGTCCTCTAACTTCGATGAATTTTATAATTGACGTCAATCTAGTCCGTGAACAGTGCGCTCTGTGTGCAGCAGGGTTGTTTTTGTATTTCACACTTTAGATAGACATCTGATGTGATTCATTTGATTTCAGATAAGCGCAAGTACCAAGCTCATATCGGCAATGGAGCATCTTTATCACAGAAACATGCTGGCCCGTTTTGTCATTGATGAAGCTCACTGCGTCAGCCAGGTAAGAAGATTGTTTTTTACAAAAAAATGACATACAAGCATGTTGGCTTAATTCTCTGTGAATTTTGAACAGCTAGGTCTCATTTCTTCTGGATATATTCAACATACTGATTTCGTGAAATGCCGCAGAGATGTGCCAAATGTTGAAAGTACTGCGTTTTGAAATTGGCAATGCGAACATTTATCAAAGATGCCACAAACTTGTTTTGTGTGAATTTGCGGAAGGTACTTTTTGTTTTCATATGTTTTGTGTTCCTTTGTTGTGATTGGCAGTGGGGCCATGATTTCCGTCCTGACTACAAGAAACTCTGCAAACTGCGTGAGAAGTTTCCAGGCGTTCCCGTCATGGCTTTAACGGCTACGGCTACGCCTAGAGTACAGAAGGATATACTACACCAGCTAGCCATGCCCAAGCCTCAAATGTAAGTCATGTTCCCTCCTCAGCCTCAAATGAAAAACTCCGACCAGCCAGCAATTCCTCAGAAAGTCACAGCCACTCCTGAACCTTGAGAGTAAGTCACAGCCACTCTTGAGCCTTGAAAGTAAGTCACAGCCCCTCCTGAGCCTTGAAAGTAAGTTACAGCCACTCCCTGAGCCTTGAAAGTAAGTCACAGCCACTCCTGAACCTTGAATGTAAGTCATAGCCACTCCTGAGCCTTGCAAGTAAGTCACAGCCACTTCTGAGCCTTGAAAGTAAGTCACAGCCACTCCTGAGCCTTGAATGTAAGTCTTAGCCATGCATTCTCATATCCGTGACTCACTCCTTTTGCCACCTGCCCATATTTCTTTGCAGATTCACCCGTAGTTTTGACCGCAGTAATCTCCAGTTCTCCGTCAAGAAGAAGGAACCGCGTAAACTGACCCAGCAAATCACCCAGCTCCTACAAACAACGTTCAGGGGCCAGTCAGGCATCATCTATTGCCTCTCAAGGTATAACCGCTGTTTTATGTGCCATTTGTAGAAATGAATCACTGCTAGGTAAGAACACTTGAAACAAAGAATTAACAAACTGACACAAATTGAGGTCCAATCTCAGGGTTTTTTGTTTTGTTTTTTTAAACACGATGGCTAGTTCATGCGCCTGAGTTTTAGATGTGAAACTAGACTTAATTATTTTCCAGGATTTCAATAGCTGTACCTTTTACAAATCTTGTGTGAATATGATGTCGTCTGCGTTATGCTTTTGAAAAGTGAATTCTTTTCTTCAAGATGAACTTTGCATCAGGGAGATGTTAATTTTAATTACGGGTTTTGCCCGAAGCTGACGTATATTCATAAACAAACAAATGAAATTTTTGCTTGTAGAGAAAACAAGCTTGTTTATACTTTCTCTCCATTTGATTTGTTGTTTGGTTGTGTTTTGGCCTCGATAGGAAGGAATGCGAGAAGACGGCTGAGGATTTATATCGCAGTGGCATCAAGGCGTGTCCTTACCACGCCGGTCAGAGTGACTCAGAGAGAGCCAAGGTGCAAGAGAAATGGATCAGTGACGAGTACAAGGTTTGTTGGAATATCAAGCTTGCCTGGAGGGACGAGCCTCATGTCAGGGCACCAGTGGTGTGACTTTTCCCAGACTTTTCTTCATCACTTGTCTTCGTCATCTTTCTTCAGGATCATGGCTTGTACACCAATTTTATTCTCCACTGAATAAGTTTCTTATCAAAGCTTGAAGTAATGATTATAAACGTGCCTACTGCGCAACTGCTCGCTAACAAGAGTTTTAGTCTTTGTCACAATTGATTTTAAGCAACCTGGCCGAATTAGTGTCGTCGAATGGCAAAACATGCCAGCAAAACCGATCCCAGTTTGGAGATTTTAATTTGTCGTGCACATTGGCAGGTCGTCTGCGCAACGATAGCCTTTGGCATGGGCATCGACAAACCAGACGTGCGCTTTGTGATGCATTATTCATTGCCCAAGTCAATGGAAGGCTATTACCAGGAGGCGGGGAGGGCTGGACGAGATGGGGAACTGGCCAAGTGTATCCTGTACTACTCTTATCAAGATGTGACTCGGTTACGCCGCATGGTGGAAGGTAGGTTGCTTGAGAGCTTTCATATGAAAACAATGACTTGATAGGCCCCCTTAACACTTGTCCGCCTTGGCAATTTTGTAAAGAGTTGCAACTTGTGAATCACAATGACCAACAGATTTATTTTTAATGATGGCTTTAGCTCTCTGTTCTGTTTTGATCCAATCAGTGGCCATGGCAACTTTCCAGTGCAATTTATTCCTATCATTCTATTCTCTTCCCTTTTTTATTCATTACAAAGCCTACAAATGCCAATTGCAGAGCTTCTTGGTCAAAGAGCAACTAGTGGGCATTAAAAGGACAGTCTACAATGTCTAGATGTCCTTGCGTCTTTCTTTTTCTGCAACAGGTGACAGGGACAATTATGAGGTGACCAAAGTCCACTTGGACAATCTGTATCGCATGGTGCAGTACTGCGAGAACAGTGTGGATTGCCGGCGTGTCCAATTACTCAACTACTTTGGTGAGACCACCTACTCCCGGGAGAAGTGTCTAGCCAGTCGACAGACCGCTTGTGATAACTGCCTGTCTGGGGTAGGTGTGGCCTGTACATTTTTGACTAGCTCTCAATACTGTTCAAGACCGTCCCCAAACTTGAGATGCTTTAGCTAAAGTTTTCCATTGTAGAATTGTTTTGTTTTTTATGTAATTCATTTACATCTGCTTGTCAGAGCACCTACTCTACGGTTGACATGACCAGCATCGCCAAGAAGATTGTGGAGTTTGCCAAGACGATAGACGGGGCCTCAACGTCTTCCTCAGGCAGAGGGTACAGGAGAAATTATGGGCCTCAATTCACCCTCAACCATTTTGCTGATGTGCTGATGGGTAAGCGATCTGACCTGGGTATCCCGTAATCATATCCCATATTCATTTCCCCTTGTGTAAACACTAGGTTTTGGGTATTCCTTTAATGTGAAGGGTGAAGGTTTTGGCAAACATTTAAGTTGTTGCAAGCACTGTGTGCCATTTTGTTTTGGAGATGAACGCAAGTGATTTTTGGTGGTAATGTCAAACATTGATATAGCATTGCAAGCTCCTGAAATGTTGCATCAAAGGCAGATTCAGAAAAATGTTGACCAATCTATGTAGTGATGTCTATGATCTCACCTTTGAACTTTGACCCCGACAGGAAGCAACTCGGCCAAGATCAGTCAGAGTGGACACACCAACAGCCCCATCTACAACCTGATGAAGAGCCGTGACTACCAACGCCACGACTGCGAGAGGCTCCTGCGCAAGATGGTTCTTGAGGGCGTGCTTCGGGAGGAGCTGGTGATCGGAGCTCACGACCAGGCTCTCTGTTACGTCAAAGTTGGACCCAAGGCCCACAACCTTCTCTCAGGACGGTTGAAGGTGAAGATGGCTTCACTTCTTACTTTAACGAGGGTATTCTGATCCTCAGTATATTTAGCCTCATACTCCTGCTGGTTTTTGTTTTGAACCGAGTAGAGGCAATACGTCAACTTCAATTTTAGAAGGGGGGGGGAAATCTGTTACCTTAAGAGAGGTCCTCATTTCCAGGCAGGAACAGACAAGACCACAATATCACTTAGGGGTGTCGTCGTCAAAGTTTCAAGTCTGGTCTTATGTCCAAGACAAGAAGTGAAAGCGACTCCATTCCAGTCTTCTTTCTCGGAAAGTAACTATCCCCCGTAACCTTGAATATAATAATGGAATTGCGCCTTGATTGGTTTGCCGGATAAGTGTGGTATATAAATCTATATTATAGTTATATCTCAGTGTTACATTCTTGAAAAAGTTAAACCTCTCTGTACTTCAAATTCGTTCATCCATTAATAAATATTAAGGCCTGTATACTCAGACATTCATTTTGTCCAAGGATTTCAGATGAAGATTTTCTGTTACTCGTTTTTTAACAGATTTTGTTAGATAGGATTGGCCAGGTTCAGCCATCATGTCTTTCTCTATAACTTGATTCTCGTGGAAATTCCAGTTCAAAGAATGTCAAAAAGCCAATGGCTTCGTGTAGAGTGAGGAAGGTTGGGCAATTCCTGAAGGTCCCCAGCAAGAGTGTCCCAGATGTGACTGTTCATGTTTTCAATCCTCAGATGGAACTTAGAATGACTGATGCAAAGGCAGCGAGAGCATTGCAGATGTCCACTCAGGTCCCCAGCAAGACGCTGAATGACCCCAGACAGAAGCTCCTGGATGACCTACGAGTCATCCGCAGACAGATCGCCGTCGAGAACAACATGAATCCAGACAACGTCTTCAACGGTGAGGCACGCAACAGTTCCCAACAAGTTTTTCCCCCAAGTCTATTTGGTGTACTACTGTCCCATTTGGATCTGTGATTCCCAAACTATTTGTGCTAAAAGAAGTTGCTTGTGGTGTGTTTATTAAAGTCCTGCTTTACTAGCAGGGCATCATTTGAGAAATTCAAAATTTTTTATGTAGATTGGTTACTTGTACTGGGCACCTTTGACATCTATGCTTCTTTTTTACACACCCAATATTCCTTGTTATAGGGTCTGCTAGTAGCAACAGCTTTTGTTCACAATTCTTCCAAAAGTAACAAAGAACATATTTAATGCAGAATGGTACTTTTGAGGAACGTATGAACAAGACCAAGCCTTCCTTTGGAATGGTCAAGTATAAACCCCCCCCCCAGTATTTTTGTTACTGCAGTGGTTTCAATTCTCATATTTTTGAGTCACCCATCGTTCCATTTTCCCAGATGAGACGCTGCGTGAGATGGCCGATCAGCTACCGATGGTCAAAGAGGACTTGGTGGAACTGACTGGAGTGACTGTTCCCAAGGCCAATCGCTTTGGCCAGAGATTCCTGGACGCGATCACCACGCACCTGCCTGACATGTTTCCAGGTCAGCTGACACTGTTAGCAATTCATTTAAGCTGTATAACCTGGCATGACAAAACCTCTTAAGGGTTACTTAGTCTCTCTAAAGAAATGTAGCAATCATCAACCACTTGGCCGTCATACCGCCCTCTAGGGTTCTGGACTGATCACATTTCCTTTATACAAATTTTTGTCTCTCACTTCAAGATTTTCTTTGCACATACATGTCAGTGTTATAGCATTTCCTGCAAGGAACTATTCGTATTAAAAATGTCGGTCTAAAAGCCTTAGTCAAGATGTAACAATGTTAGGGTTCTTTGGTTGGGAAGTGTGTGGACTTTGCTCAAATGGTAATTTGCACTGTCTTTTTAGGCTCCATAGAGAATACTTGTCCATCTTACATGGGAATGCTCATGCTGTCCCAATTGGGAATTGCTGTAGACCATATTTCCCAAATGAGAACACTGGCCTATATGCAGTTGCTAATACCAGAGAGACCTGTTTTGGTTGGGGAAAATAAATTTCACTGGAATTACCCTCTTTGAATGGAAATGTTGGGTGGATGGATCATTCTCTCATGTGCCCACATCTTCAGATATTGGTACCATCTCTTCCATCACTGACTTCAAGGTTTCCCTTAAAACCCACTTGTTCAACGATTGCACATTATTTCTTGTTAATTTTACTTGATTTATATTTGTATTGGGCCTTGCGTTATTTTTGGCAGATACCGGCGTGTGATAAATCTTCTGTCTTTAATTTATTATTATCCTAGAAAGCGTTCTGAAACCTTACATTTTGAGAAGTCTAATTAACCATTGTTGGGTTGGGAAAAGCAAAAATGCAACTTTTTTTGATAGCCCAAATGCTTTTTTCCAACCTACAGAGGAAGACGACTTTGCTAGTTCTGATCCTTCCTCTTCAGTTTATTTCAACAACGCCCTCACCAACACGGCCACAGATGTCAACAATGATGGCAGAGTATCTAAACAAGGCGGACGCAAGAGGAAACACAACGGCAACGGTAACGCCACAAAGAGTAAGCGTGTTCGTGCTGCCTCCAACAAGAGAAAAAACAACGCAAACGACAGTAAGGACAGCTCAAACGGTTTCAACTTTGGCGGTGGGGCAGGGCACCAGACCACCAATTTTAATAAGTTCAAGAACAGATCCAGTGGGCGTGGAGGAAGCGGGAAAGGAGGAGGAAGAGGGAGGTGTAGGGGCGGGGACAAGGTTGGAAATGGTGGGGGGCCAGGGAGGCTTGGGTTTATGCCGGACCCCAAACCAAGACAAGGGTTAATAGGTAGAAGTTTCTTAGCAACATCCGGCCAGTTCTTGGGCTGATATGAGTAGTCACGAGAGGTATATAGAAGCTGCCTAGAAACAATAAGCCAAACAGTGCCTGGTCTGGTACAAGGTTATGATTATGAATATTCATGAGAGATAGCCACTTCTTTTCAACCGTCAGGCAGGTCAGCGCTTCCCAGCAACCACCACAGCTTCCACAGCTTCAAGTTTAGGAATACATGTATTCATGGACTCCCTGAAAAAAGTTGGGTGATTGATTCAGCCCCATAAGAGGCATACATGTTGATGACTTAACACCAGACAATCTCAAGACCTTCAGCAATTTTCCTTGACAACTCTCACACTCTGGAATAGTCTCTACAAGCATTTTTTTTAAATCTCAATCTGTGGCATTATTTGATTAAGGTGTCCTAGCAAAAATCTTTCAGACCAGGAAGATTATCTGCCATGTAAGCCTGACTTGATTTTTTATTCTTGATCTCACGATTTCAGATACAGCTATGCTTTGTGTGATATCCCAAGTGCAGAAATTTTATCACAGGAATATGACGTGAAAACAGCTTAGTGTTAAAAGAACTTGCCTTATTTTTCACGCATACATACCACAACAGTGTATTTTTGACTAACAAGTTATTAAAATAAAAAAGTTATTAAAGATAACGTCAACATCATATATTTAGCCGGTTGCACGAAAACAAACTATGATCCAGTTTATCTCATAATTACATTATCCTATGTAATGCAAAACAGTTCAAAGTTATAAGAAAATCCTTGCTACTTCCCATTTTTAAAGTTTTGTGGACAATTTCTTTTAAGAATAAGTATGAGGTTACCCAACTACAGCATGCCATTGATGTGATGAAAAATGTTTTCACTACCAAAATGTCAAAGTCTGCAAAGATATGAGACTGAAAATATCAAACATAATGTACTAGCTGCAGATGATTCTGTTATGTAAGCAAAAAGTAAAACAGAATTAACAGATGAACCAAAAATCGGCAAAAATACTATTCAAATGCAGAGATTTTAGTTAACATTTATTTATAAACTGTTAAATCTTATCAACAAGTAAACTACTTGAGAGTGAAAATTGGGATTTTTAATGCAAAATGTCTTCATAACATTGCTCCAATCTTTGCAGTAACTGTTCTTAAGTTAACTTTTTCTTTGGTAAGCTTTGTGAATTCAATTCTAGGGTTTTATTTGTGTATTTCTTCAAGGTTCCCAACCGTCCTAGGTATCAGGAAAAACCTGGAAAAATCAGGGAAAAGTCACATCAAGGAAAGGACATTGCAAGTGGTCAAAACGATCATGTGGAGGAATAAGCCTAGGCTCATTTTGTGCAAAATACAATTTTTTAAGTTTTCAAGAGGTTGGCAGGTCTGAGAAAGTGGTCAGTCTGAAGTAATGTCAAACTGAAACTAGACCAAAGGATTACCTTGGAATCTTGCAGTGTCATCGGGGATACATCAGGGAATTTTGCTCTCATGAAATGCTGGGAATCCTGCCCTTGATCATAACCTGAACATAACTGAACAAAGTAAGAATGTACATGTGTTATTTGATGGGTGTCATTTAAAGTCCTATATCATCTGGGTATTTGTTTTACATGTATTTACTATTGAAATAAAAGATTTTATACAGATTTTGTTGATTTGTTTGATGTGCTTCTTGTTTGCCCCTGTTGACATCCATTGAATGAGTGCAGTCGATCCTTATTAATAAGAGATCCTTTGGACTTGGCAAAATAACCTTGTATTGTTATATAAAAACAGGAACTTCATATTATCAGGAGTGAAAGCAATGAAAAACAACAGCTTGGGACCAAAAGATATCCTAAGCAGAATCTTGTTGTATTGACAAGTATTGTACAAGAAATCCGGCTGTTTTTGTGTGTCCAAAGCCCCAAGCACTCAACTTATTGAGTTAACATTAATTTACACCTGCATTTCAGGGCAATAGTGTGGGCGGGGTACAAGACTGCGTGCACAGTTAACATTTATTTATACTCCCATTCCAAAAAATAACCTTTTCCCCTATCAATATCATGACAATTTCATATTAAGCACAATCTTGAACCTTATGCAGATTTATTTACTCTCTCCTAAGTTGATTATCCTGTGAATGGATATTATTCGAAGGCAAATCAACTCAGGATGGCCCAATAAATAGCAATTTTGTCAAGATTTTGGTTAACATACATGACATAGGCCCTGTAGGCTTTTTTCATGTGTATACAGACAAGCCCTATATCAGTATATGCAGGGGAATTAATTACCTTCTGCACTGTTCTGCTTCTAAATCCATAATAATGTCTCACGCCGGAAAGAATGTTGCATCATGACTCCACTGTTCTCATCACACATGTACATGTAATGATGTACATGTATATCATGTCAATAAAAGTCAGTCATTACAGAAATGCTGGAAAGAAGAATTCTGGTCTGAGAAACATTTACCGATGTTGTTGGGAAATACTTCCAAAATTCTCTTCACTCCCCATAGACTTTGTACACAACTGCTGAAGTGGAGTCAGGATGCAACATCTTTTCCCTCACGCCATTTAAAGTCAGCCCCTTACCTCGGAAGCGAAGAGATTTCTTGCAGGCGATCATGTCTCGACATTTGTCCTCTCACTGAACCACCAGCACCGGTACACCTTGCACGAACTCCAAAGTTAACTGCAATGGTTCCCGCACTCTCAAGTTAAAATATAACACACATATCGGCTACCAGTTTTTTGGACCGTGAACAAAATCCCTTTTGGACCGCCGATATGACTATATCTGTACACGGCCAACTATGCACACAAGTATAGGGCACAGCAGACTACAGAAATAGTCAGTTGACCGTTTCCCACACGCGACTACGCACGGTATGGTTGTGCACAATATCGCGTCAATGGGAAACACTGATATGGCTGTTTCTGTATCATAGCGCGCGCCATAGGATCGTACACAATGCGCATGTTCGGTGGAAACACCGAAATGGCTAATTTTGTAGCTCGCTGTAGTCGTATACACGTGTGCACGATAGACCGTATACAGAAATGGCCATATCGGCGGTCCAAATGGGATTTTCTTTACGGTCCAAAAAGCTGGTTGCCCGTTTTTGTGTGACATTTGGCTTGCGCTGGCGGGAACCAGTACTACGTGGTACGCTTGAACAGCGTCAGGTTTAAAGACGTGCAAAAATGTCATTGCTTGTGGGAAATGTACATCGAAAATTATAATACGAGCAAATGAGTGTAATTGAAGTTTCTAAGCTGTTTTTTGAATGGAAAATAGCCAAAAATAAGTTGTCTAGGCGCGGTGGCGGGGGATAAAAAATAAATTAATTCTGTTGAAAAGCAAAACGGAAAATGGCGCAAAGGGAAAGGAGAGCAAAATCATGAATTTGCAATTGGTTTTGATAACCTGTGAAATTTGTTACGAAACGAAAACCAGCCGCTACAGTAGCTCCACCTACATTTTTTGGGGGGAGGGGTCAGCACGACATAAATAATGTGGTTAAAAGCAGAAATGAATTAGAAAAATTTCTTCCAGTGCAAAGTACGATTTGTGTTTTTCTCATGGGAAAAATGATTCAAAACTACCAGAGCATTCCATACAAAAACATATCTCTACTTAATTTCGTAGACCCTGAAACGGGCAGTCGGTCCCGATATTTGATCCATCCCTATGCCTAGAAAAACCCTCAGACGAACCAATGTATAAAAATAAAGGGCGCCACCTACGGCAGATAAGAGAAAGTTCGACCGTGGAATCAGGCAGTCCTGAAAAGCCAACTTTTTAATTAAGGCGAACTTTGAAATTTTAAAAACACAGGTAGATCGGATATTCAATTTCCTCTACAAAAAGTATCATTTTGTTGTCTAAAATGCTTTTAAAGGCGAGGTTTTCAAGTTTTTCTGCTTCAGTTCTCCCCATTGTTGTTCACTCAAGCGTAACGAAAGATAGCGGCGTCTAATCCTCGGTAAGCCTCGAATCATTTTATTGTTCAGGGGAGACGGAACAAAAGAATCTAACAAAAGAATTAGTCTCTTTTTCAGCCGAAGTACCATTCAGTTCACGTGTGTGCAATGAGGGACGTGTGTCAAACGCCTTGAATCCGCCTCTATATTGTTCAATCATTTTATACCCGCGCCTCTCTGTTTTATACCGCCCTCACTCCGGTCTTCTGGTTGGTTGCCACCGTCTGCCACATGGTCTCTTTGGATCAAATCCGTTCTTCGTCTGCAGATTTTTTTGCCTTAAATTACCATACCGTCTGAAATTGTATTAATTTCTATCTCGCCATGTCAGTCATTGCTGCTAACATCTCTGAAGTTTTGCATGTATAGTTTGACCAATGCGTTCAATTTGCAAACGAAAATGGTTGAAAATACCTCGGTACAATAATTAAGTCATTCCGCAGACGGCAAACACCTGTCTTTAGAACCAAGAGTTTTATCTGATACTTGGAGAAGAAAGTTTATTACTATTTTCCTAAATAATTGCTAGGACAGTCATCTTTGTCTCTTTAGAAAAACACGATGTACTTCCCTAAAGGAGAAAAACCCCAAAATGGACAGAGACAAAACAAACTTCCAATGACAGACTGGATCTGGAGAGACACTCATATTGGTCCACTGTTCCTCTTTTATTTCTAGAATCTCAATAACACAGACGAAATATGAAGACAAGACTCCATTAAATTGATACCAAAGGTTAAAGGGAAATTTAAAGGAAAATTTAACCAGCCAAAATAAACACACGTATACTTGGCTTTAGTTTTTTACAACAAAATTATTAACCTTAACAGTTCTTAATTTTGAAATATTTTACTTTTCCACACACTTTGGGAGTTCGGGTCTAAATGCTCTTTAACAAAATCGCAGGCAGAACACATTCTTTGTCTCCATCTCAGTTTTGGGAAAAATGTTTTTAACCTAACATTTGGCCTTGGTTGTGTGCAAACTATATAAAGATTGAATAAAAAAGTCAATAAAAGAATTTTTACAAAATTGAAATTGTTTCTCAATCTTTGATTGATGACTTATTTCCAATAACTGGCCTTCACTACAATACTACATGAAGACACAATTGGTTTCGGAATGCCCCGTTCTTTCTGTACAGAGTACTCACTGTTAGACATGGTGTGATTCCAAGCAATATTTCTAACTCACTCTATTCTAAAGTTTCCTCGCATAATTCTTGATTCTAGTTGTTTTCCAGTTTGCTGTGCTGTGATCAGAGAAAGAGTCATTCCCCCAAAATTTTTCATCCCTGTTCAATTCCAGTGTGAGTGTGACAATGGCATCATCCCAAGTCAACTTTTCTTTGTCTATATATTTGGATTGAGTACATGTACATATGACCCACCATCCCCAAACCAGGCTGAAGTAGGCAACTTCATAACCCTAAAATAGTGGAACTTCCACTGTTCAGATTTTCATGGGAGTTTCACAGCAGTCACTACCGTAAGAAGCTTACCGCAGACAGAATTTTGATTTAACAAGGATCACTCTAAAGTGAAAAAAAAAGCTGAAGAAGAAGAATTGTCCAACATCACAAATACCAACTTCTGCCTGGTTTGGGGATGGTGGGTCACATATGACTAAAAGAGCAATAACGTATAATGCAAGAAAAAAAAACAACTGGAAAATAAAACCTGTCCATCTCCTTAAGCACTGCATTAAAATAATCAAAAGTGTAAAAAAACTCTGGTACCCAGTCTCCATTCTTCATCATTCTGTCCAAGGCCATGCCACCACTGCCCACCAGACACACTCAACTGTCAATCCCAACCTTAATAAATGTCAAAGAGAAAGTGCCCTTTCAAACTCGAAATGAGACATCAAAATAAACTGGTAAAGTACTCATGAAATTTTAGAAAACTCTCTCAGATGAGTAAGGTTAGCCTGATTCATTTTTGTGAATTTCTGCACTCAAGGTCTGATCCTTGACTCCTCATCAGCACATCTTAAGTTCTTGAAGTTACTCCTTCCTTTGGGGAGAGGGCTCAGCCAGGGACATCTTGGATGTGGACCAACCAGCCACAACCACTATTCCAGAAAAGAAACAAACAAAACAGATGAGTCAATTTGAAGCAACCAGAAAATGCAAACTGCACTATTTGGCTAAACCTTTATCCGAACTCTCTGAATTTCACTGGACAGGTTCCTTTACTTCATACTCTCAGAAATCAAGACTTTCAATTTGTACACACAGCACACAAACTTTGCTGGTTAACATTTTAATTAAAGAAATTCTTGCCAAGTACAGGAACTGTCAGCGCCTGTATGGTAAACTCATGGTGTGTTGAACTTTCTTTTTGACTGAGTTTTCAAAGCAACTCCTATCACTCTTCTTCATCAATCCTTTCTGGTCAAAACTTCACATTTTATTCCACAGTGTTTTGGAAACTATCAACTTGAGAATAAAACTCTGAAGAATTCAACTTGTGCAAGTTGGATTGTCATGGTGCAAATTTGAGACCCACAATTTGATGGTATTTGTGAATGTGTACATCCAGGACAATGCAAGTTACCAGCTAGTGCAAGTTTGAGACTATTAGCAGCTGATGTTTTTAACCCTCTCAACAATTTTTCTGTGTGAAAGTTAGTTTACTGTTGACTCAGATAAATTCAAATAATTTTTTTTACCACAGGGAACATGACAACTTCGTGAATACTGACAAATAAATGTCATATGCCTTGAACATTTTCAAATCTGTAGGCCAATAGATTGAGAAAAATAACATCACAGTATACGCATCTTTGAAAGTAAATTTTTAAAAAGATAAACTTCACTTTTTTGCACATGAATTTATACAAAATAAGGATTTTGCTTTCCTTAAAGATCTAGCCAACTAGGTGTTATATATTTGAATTTGTAGGATACCCGTGCCGTTTGTTTGGAAGTTTAAAAAATGACCAATGCATTCAGCAACTGGTTACAAACTTAACACTATTTTACCTTGATATGCGACCATTGGTAGAAAATGAACCTTCATGTTTTTGACTGCATCCATTCTCCATGCCTGTAAAAACAGCAAAAATGCATCCATTTAATAAGAACAAGGACTATTCAAGAAATTCGGAGAGACATTGGTCAACATCTTGCAGTACTCACTTCCAGACAACTTTCAATTTGTAGTTTATAAATTACGATTCGTAAATGAATACACAATTACCAAAATGTCATCATCATCAAACTGACCTACGTGTACATATTCACGTACGTATATTTTCTTGGTACATTTGATGACATATGATAACAACCTATGTATCATTTTGTATTATATTCTGTCCAAGACAACAGAAGTACTTGTACAATCAAACCATAAACACACAATAAGCGTCAAATTATTGAGTATATTTGAAACTATATCTGGTAAATGTCTAGTTCTATTATACATGGAGATACGGTGAGTATCCGTGTACTCTTCTCAGTATGACAAACTTAAACTTGTAAATCTAACAAAAGCCATGTATTTGTATTTTATGCAGTGTGATGAACTACTGTGAACATACTAATCCATTAATGATATGGCCACGTCAAGCTTCTACACTTTAACAAATTTAATCATTTGAATTTGGGTAAATTCATGTATAAATACTCAAACAACCTACTTCCACATTGCTTTAGTATTTAGTTTAATTTAATTCCAGATATTCATTCATTTAATACTAGAAGTGTTTTGTAAAAAAAAGCTACAAACTCAACTCACTTATAATAATCTACTCCTACATGTACTTGTCAAGTTCTTGTTTATCCTACTTTTTGTCATGGTCATGTTTTCTTTCTTTGTCCAGTTTTTATTTTCTTTATCCACTATGGTTCATGTAGTTGTATTTGTTCAAAGGGTGATAAACAAAAGCCACATGCATGTTACATCCCATACCTAACACTGTTTACTTATGTATTTTCTGATATCTTGTTTTACGTTTAGTGCTTGCCATTCCTGTGTAATGGACAGATAGTTATCAAACTATTTTTTGTATAATTTAAGAAAACATTCTGGATAAATCTGTCTTGAAATTGAAAACATCACTTTTCAAGAGTAGTGGAAGTAAGGTTCGTCATTGTGTATAGTTTCAGAATGTTTCCACAGAAGATATGCAAATTAAACTTGTGGAAACAGAGTTTTGATCTAAAATAACTGTTTTTCAAATTAAAGCCAACTCTGGGAAAAACTACCTCATTTTGAATGAAAGAAGTACAGATCACTGTGAAAAGTGTTATTTTTCTAATTGTAATTACTAGTCTATCTTCTTTTCAAATATTGTTTGTGTAGAGATAACAATGGCAACAAATCTAGAGAAGATCAGCCATCATCTTGAATGTGATGTTTGCCAAGAGAGATACAAAGAGCCACGAATCCTGGCCTGCCAGCACAGTTTCTGTCAGAAATGTCTTGAGGATTACCACACTAACAGGTACACAGATGCTCCAATGATTCCTTGCCCTCTGTGCCGAGAGGAGACACTGCTTCCTCAGACATGCATTCAAGGCCTAAAAAGAAACTTCCATTTGATGGAAATCATTGAGGAGGTCTCTGTGCAGGAACAGTTGGCACATTCAGAAGAGATGAACAAATGCCAACAACACCACGGGGAAGTCAAACGTTTCTACTGTGAGCCATGCCAAGAGTTGATCTGCCAAGATTGTGTTGTAGTGGACCATTGTAAACCTGGACATGACTACACTGACACTCACAAGGCCTCCTGCAAATACAAACAATTACTGGAAGATTTGCTTGAAGATTTTGGCAGAGACATTGAAGGGATGAAACAATCTTTGGCCGTTTCATCCGAGGCTAAAGAAGAGTTAACAGAGAATGTCACAAAGACTGTGAAAGCTGTGCAGGAGAGAGCAGCTCAATTGTAAGCTGAAATAACATCTGCAATAACAACTCAAGAGAAAAAGTTGATTGATGAAATCCAACAGATTCAGCAGGATCGCATCAGAATGTTTGATGAGCACCAGGAAGCAGTGAGCATGATGCTATTACAAAAACAAGATTCACTGGCTATGGCCAAAGATATCACCAATACCCCATCAGGCACTGACTTTCTGTCCTTCTATCCTACCATTAGCAAGGACTTGAGTCCAAAGAGTCCAAATCCTCCCTAGATTGCATGTCTAAGATTCACTCCAAGTTCACAGGTTGGTGCCATCACTCTGGGCAGGCTGGAGGTGGAAGACAAGTGGAAGATGTGTTTTCAGTTTGGTGAAAAGGGAAGCGGTCCAGGAGAGTTTAATGGGGGTAGGGGTATCACTGCTACTCAATCAGGTGAAATTGCTGTGGCTGATCACTGGAACAAACGAGTGGTGATCTGCAGCAATGCGGGACAACCTAAGGAAAGCATTCCCCTAACAATCATGTTGTGGTCTGTGGAGGCAAGAAACAGAAAGTGGATATTGCTTCTAGCAATGGTAGAACACTTGCAAGAATCATACCCATTATTGGTGGTGGGCCAGTGCAGCACTGCTCTGGTGTATGCTGTGACAGGTCAGGCATTTATGCTATAGTGTGTAATCAGCCTGGCACAGGTCACATTCACCACTATGACCTGGATGGCATTTTTCTTGCTTGCCTGGCTCGAGGTCTGCAATGCCCATATGGAATCACTTTCACATCAGATAGACAGCTGGCAGTAGCTGATTACCATTCAGTAAAAGTGTATCACAAAATGTGATGTCATCCAACGTGATGTATATGTTGACATCAATCTTCTTCATCACTATCATCCCATGTTGACTAATTGTCCATTTATTTCAACAAGACCTTCACGTCTCACAATAATCTGAATCCCAAGTGCCAAAAAGTAGAGAAGTGCATTTCTACAATGACTGAGTGTAAAGTAAGCAGTCTTGACTTCCCCTTATTTATTCATTTGAAAAGCTTCTTTATTCTTTGGCTGTTTGTGAGGGTGCAAAAGTGCAAAAGATTTTTAAGTTCACACTCTTCGACATCAAGACTTTCAATTTGTACACAAACTTTGCTGGTTAACATTTTAATTAATTTATTCAAGACACGTCAAGGAATTGGTAAACTCATGGTGTGCTGATCTTTCTTTTTGACTGATTGGGTCCAAATTTCACATTTTTTTCAACAGTGTATTGGAAATCATCAAATTGAGAATAAAACCCCCCAAAGACCAACAAGGATCATGCATGTTGAATTTCCATTTTACAAATTTGTGATCAAAATTTTGTCCAAGAAAGTGCAAGTTGCAAGCTACTGCAACTTTGTGAATTTAACCAGCTGTGTTAACTCTCTAAAGAATTTTACCAAATAAAAGTTACTGCCGAAACTGCTACATGTAATCATTTGAGAAATTTTAACTTTTGCATAAATCTCAAATCAAAGTCAAAATGTTAAGCTAAAGGAAAACATCATTGTGCATATCAACTAATCATTTACATTTGTCAATCCCCTGGCCCCAACAATTTTTCAAAATCCGAAATAATAACTAACATCCCAAGGAATTCATCCTCAAAGTTAAATTAATAAAAACATGAATTTCACTTTTTTTGTGCATGAATTGACACAAAATATAATATCTACCAACTAGTGAACAAAATGTAATACAATGCATTTCAATCGGACAATTTGAGGGGTTCCAATTGCCATTGTTTTGAAATTTCCAACTTGATCAATGTATTCAGTAATTCACTGAAACTGAACACTATATTTACCTTGACGTGCGACTGCTGGTTGCTAAGGAAACCTTCATGTGCTTTTTGACTACATCATTTCTACATGCCTATAAAAAACACATCCATTTACAAAAACAAGGAATATTCATAACAATTTGGAAGATGTTGTCGTTTAACCTCTTGCAACGTTCACTTCCAGACAACTTTCAATTTTTAATTTGTAAATTATTTGCGAATGAATACACATATTTGCATGAATCCATAATTTTGAGCCCATATGTCATCAAGGAACTATACTTTCCTGGTAGAGTTCATGACATATGTCATGCACTGTGACTTCATATCATGAAAGAACCCATAAATAGGGCATTTAGCATTTAAAAAAAAATTGCAATAGTAAAAGCATTGAGGAGATTCCTACGCTTATCTGAGGTCCAAAGGACACACACACTCAAGTGAGGAATAAACACGTCTGCAAACAAACAACATGACTGGACTCTTCACACCTGATGCAAACAAGTACATGTACATGTACATGTATGTCACCCAAAAGCTCTTATTATAAACAGCATTGTCACACCATACTGAGGATTTTCCGTGTTTGACCAGTGCCTTGTTTCCGGGATCCGCCCCTTCAAAAGCCTTTAGGTAACGGTGCTCTTGGTGTCAATTTTGAAATCAGCCAGAGTTTGTCTTACACATCGTCTTTAGTTGGCTTTCTTTGGGACTTCGTTGAAGTAAGAAATGCTTGAAGTTGTTTTGGTGTGGTTTAAAGGCCAGATGGTATTCATAAACTGGGGGAATTTGGGAACATCACTTATCAAGAGCAATGGAAATACTGATTTGTCGTGGTGTAGCCTTGTGAGAGAACATTGGTGCAAGTTAATTAACATGATGGAAGTACATTTTTGATCAAAAAGAACTGGCATTTATTAGTGCTGGATCAAAGGAAAAGCAGTATCTGTTATTTTGAATGCAAGAATCTTAGATGACGATGAAAAGGGGTACTTTGGTATCGTGAGTACGAGTTAACCCTCTTGTCAAAATATCATTTGTGTTCAGGTAACAATGGCAACGGCTCTAGAGAAGATCGACCACCATCTTAAATGTGGCATTTGCCAAGAGAGATACACACACCCAAAGGTCCTGGACTGCCAGCACAATTTCTGTCAGAACTGTCTGGAGGAATATTACACCGGCAGATACAAAGATACTCCCAAGATTCCTTGCCCTGTGTGTCTACAGGAAACGGTTCTACCAGATACACGCATCCAAGGCCTGAAAACCAATTTTCTTTTGACGGGAATCATCGAGGAGATCTCTGAACAAGAAAAGTTGGCATGTTCAGAAGAGAAGAACACGTGCCAAAAACACCAGGGAGAAAAGAAACGGTTCTACTGTGAGACATGTCAAGAGTTAATCTGCAATAGCTGTGCAGTGTTAGACCACTGTAAACCACAACATCACTACATCGACATTGGAGAGGCTTCTCTCAAATACAAACATTCACTGCAAGATATATTTCTAGATTTCAACAAAGAAATAAAAGGACTGGAAAAATCTTTGACTGCTTCCTCTGATGCTCAGCAGGAGTTTGCATGGAATGTCACAAAGACTGTGAAAGCTGTGCAGGACAGAGCGACTAAAATGAGAGCTGAGATAACATCTCAGGAGAAAAAGTTGATTGATAAAATCCAACAAATTCAGCAGGATCGCAACCAAATGTATGCTGAACATCAGAAAACAATAAGCACTATGCTACAAGGAAAGCAATATTCACTGACAGCGGCCCAAGATTTCATTGACACCGCGTCAGAGAGTGACTTTCTGTCCTTCTGTCCTATCATCAGCAAAGACTTGGAATCACTGAAGAGTCCAAATCTTCCCTGGATTGATCCCAAGCTTTCATATCTGAGATTCTCTCCAGGTCAGAGGGTTGATGAAATCAACTTGGGCCAGCTGGAGGTGACAGCAGACACATGGGAGAAGTGCCACACATGCCGTGAGTTTGGGAAACATGCTTGGTTTGGTCGAAGGCGGCTTGGTATGGTTCAAGGCATTGCCGCTACTCAACCTGGTGAATTTGCTGTGGTAGATTGCTGGAACAAGCGAGTGGTGACCTGGAGCAATGAGGGGCAACATAAGCAAAACATTCCCCTGAAATCACGTAAGTTTCCCTGAAACACAGAACATAGTCATACAATTACAGGTAATTGTGACACTTAGTAGGTTGACATACTGTAAATGAAATCATCCATGTGTAAGATGTGACTGACATAGAAAACAAAATGAATACTGACCCAGGTCCTTGTATGCACAAGGTCAAATGAAATATATCATAGATATTACTGATGTTCTTTCTACACAAAGTCCATGTTATTTAGAGCTATCAACTACCATGACTAATGATGGGTACATGCAGTTGTCGAAACTAACGTTTGCGGGTACACCATGGAATCAATCTCTTTTGGGTGAGGTGTGGTTCTTTTTGGTTCTTTTAAAAGAACCAGTGAGTGTTAACTCAACGTTTCGGCCAGTGTGCTCTGGCTGTCCTCAGGAAGTCTCTTCCACCATGCAAAGCTTCAAATCTTACTTGAAAAGGCATTATTTCATGTGGACTTTGCTTTTTTTAATAGTTGGACTTTTCTTCACCCCCAGATCCACGTGACACTGCAACTATCCACAATCATGACAATCAGTTGGTGGTTGTAGATGACACCAAGTATGTCAAGGTGTTCGATAAGAAGAACAAGCTGGCCTTCCAGGTCCCCACAGTGCCACAGAGTGAAGTTGACGGGACAGAAGTGAACCTCTGCAGTGTAGCAGTTACGAAAGATGGCACCATCCTAGTGGGTGATGTCAAGAGGATGGTGTGGACGGAGCATAGACCCACTGATGGTCAGCTCCTACACACCGTACCAGTGCAGACTCCTCCTTACTTCCTGGCTGTTGATGACTGCTCTGATAGAGTTGTGATCAGCGGATTCAAAACACAGGAAGTGGGTGTTGCTGTCAGAAATGGTACAGCACTGTCCACAATCAAACCAATCATTGATGAGAAGCCGGTGCAGTTGTGCTGTGGTATTTACTGCCACAGCTCAAGCGTCTATGCCGCAGTATGCAATGAAGCTGGCACTGGTCACATTCACCACTATGACCTAGACGGCGTTTTTCTTGCTTGCCTAGCTCAGGATCTGTGGTCCCCACATGGAATCACATTCAAATCAGATGGGCAGTTAGCAGTGGCTGACTGGGACTCAGTCAAGATGTATCACAAGGTGTGATGTCATCCAACAAGACATTGACTAGCAATCTCCACCATCATCATCATCCAACAGCAAATGATGATGGAACTATCCAGTCACTGCAGCACTGATCAACTTCCATGCCTCACTTATTCCAAATCTCACTTCAAAGCAAGCACAACTGAAATACCCAAACACAACGAAAACTGAATATCCATTGCCTTCTTACACCATTCAAACCACTGACAGTTGTTTATGGCATTTGATCATTAGACCTAACAAACATTTTCCTCTGCCAATTATTGCTGGTTAATTAATTTCTACTACTAAATGTCAATTAAGAAACAGGATGTGTACACAAGAGTACCCTTTAAGCAAATAACCAATTCCATAGGCAAGTTCTGAAATTGCCAGTGGAAGGAGACATTGTTTTGTTCACTAGGTTTCCACTCTTCTTTCATCGCTGGTACAAATTTCCAGCCGAATATTTTTGCACAGTTCACTATGTGTAACTTCTGGTCCCACAGCAGTTGGCTACCACGTAACCCACTTCCTTCTACTTGGTAGCCCACCTCCTTCTACTGGGCACCCTACATGTACCTCCTTTTACTGGGTAACTGCCACCTCCTTCTACTGGGCACCCTACATGTACCTCCTTTTACTGGGTAACTGCCACCTCCTTCTACTGGGCACCCTACCTCCTTTTACTGGGTAGCATACCTCCTTCTACTGGGCACCCTACCTCCCCCTACTGGGTAATCCACCTCCTTCTACTGGGCACCCTACCTCCCCCTACTGGGTAATCCACCTCCTTCTACTGGGCACCCTACCTCCTTTTACTGGGTAGCCCACCTCCTTCTACAGGGCACTTCTACTGGGTAGCATAAAAAACTTTTCCATCAGCTGGAAGTTTGCCAAAGATTCCATTTGCTTTGCAAGTATTCCATCAAATACAAAATGATTTTATACTTTGTATAATCTCAATTCTTAACAGCTCTAATATGAGAATACACCATTTGTAAAGTTTAATTGTGTTGCTTACATTTCTTGCTACTCTTTTCAATCATATATTTTTCCAAACCAGTTTTTCAAGACAAAAATAAGTCAGTGTGTAAGTTTTATCAGTAGCTGTTTCCTGTACAAAGCCTTCAACTGTAGCATCCTTTAGACAGTTACAAGGATGAGTCAGAAATTAAATTCTTAACTCCCATGCTAAAGGGGATCATCCACTGGACATATTAAGACTCAAACTTGGATTCTTAACTTGTTTCTAAAAGGTGCATTTATTTCATGAGAGAGTTAATGAGAGAGTTTCAAACATATTGAAGACCACTTCCTCTGTGAAACGAATATTCTCACAACCCAAATAATTGTTGTTCTTTGTTGCATAAGTTTATTTTGTCAGCAAACGCAAGAGTTTGCTAAGCACTGAAAAGGTATTTGCTCAGTTTTTAATACCTGTTGGGGTTTTTCTTCGGTATCATGTTACTTGTACCTTGACAAATCAGAACATGACCCAGAATATTGACCCAGATTCTTTGATGGATTGTATGGAAAGTAACAAAAAGCTAATGCTTAAGTAGTGCTTGTACTACTGGTGGGTGTCTTAGAATCCAATAAATGAAACAGGAAAAATTTATCCAGGAGTTACACTAAGTGACCAGTTATATGTCCTCAGTGTTAGGCTTGTTGATTTGACCAGTATGGTCATCATGATTGTAGGGCGCGCAATGGACTTACCTCAGCTATGTCTGAGGTCTTGACTTCTCAAGTACATGTAACTTCCTCCAATGACTCCAAGCCTTGCTTCAGTTTGATCTCTATTCATTTTAACATAGAAAAGAAATCCTTCAGAGCTTGCACTTCTGAATAAGCACGCCTCAATTGGAAAATGAGAAGAGGCAACTTAAAAAGTCTAGCTTTTTGTAAAATGCAAAAGTGTTTGAAGTGGCAACTTCTTGTTGACAAATTGTGGAAGCCAACTTGATTTTAACTTCAAAACAACTGACTAAGAATTCACAACCATTGTCTAGTTATCGTACTCAGCAACCACCTCTCTATATGTAGCACACCGAGACTGGGATTTCAAGACGCCATGAATTTGATCACCCTAATCTTAGCCTTACTTTCCCCTTGAAACGATCCCACTGAGTCAGAGATTAGACTTACAAAGCTGGTTCCTTTAAGAAAAGAAAACAAATCAAACCAGTGTGTTGGTGTGATGACCATGTACGGTACAAGTCTCTTTTGCAAGTTTGTTTCCCAAGTGACTCGCCACACATGAAGTGGTTTATAATAAGAGTTGTTCCTTGAGGAGTTGGGATCACATCTTGGAGGGTCAAGGATCAAACCTGTCTAATAAGAAATGTAACATCCAAAAACAATTGGCAATCCAAGCATTCTGTGATGTGTCAATCTTTTTCCCCACTATTATCATTTCTATCGTGAGGGGCCAACTACCTGTTTTCTGCCAAACTTTTTCAGTCAGTCAGTCTCAGTAAACTTTACAGACACTACCGGTATTTCCTGTTTTGACAATTTTTTTTTCTAGACATGGTCAAAATAAATTTGTATTCAACACAACACACATTGTATTGATTCAACCGAGTCAAACAGATACAACTTTAATACAAGTGTATATCTTACTTCTAAGCTTTTTCCAAAACCTTTTCTAATGCGAAGCTTTTCCAATTATCCCTTTTTAAAAACAACTTTTCGTTTTAAGTAACAACCTACAAAGTCCTCCCTTGGTGTCACAGAATTCAACTACATGTACACAGATCTCTGACCCAAATTACGAGCACAAATACAGAAACAAGCCTAATGGAATAAATTCTAACTGCACATATATATTTGAGCATTGTTTGATGTTCAACAAGGATGTATGAATCATCTTAAACTCAGGAAGTGTCCCAGTAACACTACTCCAGGTCCTAATCCGTAGAATGTTCAAGAAGTGCCACAATGCTGTCACACACTCGGTATTTCCCCTTTACTGTTTAACCAAATGAATACGGTATCCCCCCCTCCCATTTTTTTCCTAATGGTCACAAGCCCCATGATAGCATCCCCATCCATAAAATCCTCACCAACTGTTTTCCTTGATTCCCCCTTCAAAACACCTGTGACTACCAGCTCAATACATGGTCAACTTTTGATGATGTCAACTCTATATATAGCCTGTAAGTCAGTCCAAACTACTAAAACTTAGATTGTCCCAACTGTGGAGCTGTATAGACCAGTCCGGGTACACACTCACTGCAGTGCGCTCATGCACATCCACCCTTGTTTACTGTAGCATGAACACATTTCAAAAACACACAGGATCCCTAGGGTCTTCACATCCACACACAGCACCCTCACAATCCCAAATTCTATTAATAAACCAGGTCACCTTCCTGAGTGATGATCCTGTGCTTGTCTAGTGTAGTCTTTCTGGGTCAAATCCTGATTCTACTCTTGGCATAAGAGAGAAACACTGCCAAGTATTTCTTTCCACCAACTCTTCAAAAGAGGTGAGAAAAAAGTAGTAGTTGTTTCATGAGGTTTGAAGGTCAAGTGGTATTCATGAAGTGATAGAATTTCCATCAGATCTCCATTTTTCAAGAGCAGGTGAATTGCTGTTTCCTTCAATGCAGTAAAACAGCAGTTGTTGTTTGTTGAACTGTTGTAGTAAATGGTGTTGCAGTTGTTTGTTGAACTGTTGTAGTACATGGTGTTGCAGTTGTTGTTTGCTGTTGTGTAGCCACTGCCATCTCATCATTGTTTTTCTTGTTGTGGTGGTGTTGTCGTCATCATCGCAGTTGTTGTGTTGTGTTGTTGTCGCCGTCAATGTGGTGGTGGGTGTTGTTAATTGGTTGTGGTGTTGTTGAATTAATTGGTTGAAGTTGTTGAATTATGTTAAGCTATGTACATGTACGCTATGCTAAGCTATTGTAATTACATAATTATGTACAAATAGTTTTTTTCGGCTATACTACAAAAAAGTGGAAAGCGATGCCACATGTAAGAGACATTAACCTGTGCACCCGCATGCATGCAAATATTTGCCAGCAGGCAGAGCCCCATTTACTACATCCATTTAAAAACTAGAGTGACAACAGTATTATTCCTCTCAACAGAGGGCAGCAGCACTGGATCTGTTGACAAGCAAGTCATGGCTTTGAAGAGACCATGAAAAATGTCAGTGGAGCCTCCTCTCCACAATCATCAGTACATGTATATAATCAAGACTTAATCCTATTCAATAGTGGATGGGGGGGTGCAGGTCATGCCTCCTCATCCTTTTAGAATACTTTCTAATGCTCTGAAGTGGTTACTTATGGTATAGTAGGGCACCGCTCCTCTCTTCATAAATGGAAAGTTTTAATTGCCATGCCCTATTTGCAGATAGTTCAATTCATGACCAAATGTCTTTGTCTTAATTGCTCTTTTATTTCTTTCAGATGGCAGTAAACACAGATGTCTACAACAGAATAGAGTTGGCAGACATTTCATTGGATGCTGAAATTAGTTCAAAATCAGCTAAAAATAAAGTGTTCCGGGCAACATGGCGAGCGCCTTCAGGAAAGCAGAAAGTCGCTGCAAAAAGCTGCAGTCGTTTTCACGAGGAGGAGGTAATGATTATGGCAAAGATGAACCACAGAAATATCATCAAGCTCTTGGGGGTTGTCAAGCCAACTTCATTATTGGAGAATTACATCATTGTAACTGAATATGCTGAGAGGGGTTCTTTGTACAGGGTCATTGAACAACATCGTGAAGACTGGCCAGAGTTTAGGCAGAGTCATTGGATGAGATGGGCCCAGGATGGTGCTAAAGCTCTACAGTACATTCATCAGATGGGGTACCAACATGGGGATGTCAAATCACCCAACTTCCTTGTTACC